GGTGCCAGGTCTCTGAATACCTGTGCATCTTTAGAGAGGAAGGTTGAGGTTTTTATACAATTTTGTTACAAGGAAACACATACAACAAAAATTGTGATAGGCTACACAAACTTATATAATGAAAAGATCTTTTGAGCATGTCATGCTCTTGTCCAGTTCATTATACTGAGGTGGTTTCACATTTACATACTCATTATGCGCAAGTGGGTGTTGATTTTAGTGTTAAAATTAAGCAAGGTAAGGCAAGGACAGGGTCTTTACTTGATTCTCATCCAGTGTTGACTAATCTGCCATTATCTATTCCTAATGAATATGTTCTCAGTTATACACGCTGCACATATTTTAACTCTGCTTAAGTTTACATGATGACCTTGGGGCATGTCTAAGGTAATGCATTTCTTCATACCAATTATTTCAAAATTTGTTAAGTTTTGCTGACTTTGCAAGTTAATTCTGCAAGTTATTATAACACTGTGGGTGGGGAGGAAGAGAGTGATCCCAGAACTGATCAGGGACAGATCCTAGCAGGGCAAACCTCACATTGTGTCACCGAGCACAAGGAATAAGGCCCAGCAAGGGAGAAAAGCAAGTCTGAGTGCCAGGGCAATACGGCCCCAGCCACTCCAGCACTGACTCTCCATTCCCCATGTGGTGCAGACCAGAGTCAGGGGCTTCCCTTCGCTTCATCAGAAAAGTTCCTTTTGCCGAGGAGGAGTCAGTGCTCTGGCTCGCAGCATCTGGCCATCCCTGCCTGAGGAAGCGGTTTGCTGCTGAGCTGTTGTGTGAGTTCAAGAGCAAACGGAGGAAGGGCTTCTCCTTCCAGCTACCATTACCAGGGATTCCTGAAATGCATGAGCCTGTGCACTCTCCTCTACACATCTCAGGCAAACAGATGGGAATGGAGTTCTCTTTAAATGCAGCTATTGCTCTTCTCTGTGTATCTTTCCCTTAGCAGGGGAAGCATGCTAAATCTTTAAACATTTTTGTGAATGCACCTTTTATCCTGCAGCTGAAACAGGCTCCGCGAGCTCAAAAACCAGGGCTGAGGGTCAGAGCCATGAGGATTTAGAGATGACCAGGAGAAATTACGCTCCCCCTGCCTGGAGCAAAACAATGCCCTTCAGCAGGGACGTTTCTGTGCCACAGCAGCCCCTTGGGCCACCAGGCAGCTGCCTGGCTCTGCAAGGTGCCGACACGCTGCATGCGAAACAAGGGGTGTGACGGGTCGTCTTGCTGCTCTGGGATGTCTTTTAAACCTTGGCAGCGAGCTGACGGCCACCACACCCTAAGCATTTGCTACAGCAGCTGCCATCCCAATTTTGCACGGCCCTTTTTGCAGTCAGCAAATGCCTCCTGCCCGCAGGCTGCCTGGGAGGGAGCTGCTGCCTGGCAGGGCTCTCCTGCCTACGGTCCTGGGCAGCAGCACAGGTCCCGGCTCTGGCAGCTGCCTGGTGCCATCTCGTGGTTAAATAGCTTCTCCGGAACAGCCCTGTTTCTGTCCTGCCAGTGATCTTCCACCAGAAAGGAAAGAAAACCTCCAGTATTAATTTTTAGCAGGTTATTTCTGCATGTCTTTGCACAGGCAGATGCCTGCAACATTGGGTAAAAGGCCCACTCGTTGCTGCCTGTTCAGAAGAGGCCGAGCAATGTGTGTATTACCTGACCCCCCCTTATCTGGGGATGTTGTTTTTACACCTTCATAACCTCATATTTCTGCAGGAGAACAGCTCGCCGCGTTTCGCACCCAGGATGGCCAAGCCTACGTGGTTGACGCTTACTGCCCTCACCTCGGGGCTAACCTTGCCGCTGGCGGGCGCGTCATGGGCAGTTGCATCGAATGCCCATTTCACAGCTGGCAGTTTCAAGGAGAAGATGGAAAATGCATCAGCATCCCATATGCTGAAAAAGGTGAACATCCCCCAAATCAGCAGAAAGCATCCGCAGAAATGGCAGTTCCCTGTGTGTCCTCACTAAAAGCTACTTCATTAAGGAAAAGTGGTCTTCATAATAACTCACCCTCTATCCTGCTCCCCTAGTTCATGCAGCACTCTAATTTTCCTCCTGGGTTGTCCATGTTGGGGTATAATGTTCCAGTGGCCTTTCCTATGTTAGACGGTAACCAGGACTTTAGTTAAATAACCACCCTTCTCAATTTTGATAGTCCTACAACTCCTGCATTCAGCAAGCAGAGTATAAAAGAAGATTTTTAACTCTAAGTCATCCATTGCACCAGCCCAGATGGATCCTGAGGAGATATTGGGTTTTAGAAATGATTCTGTAGTCTACAGTGACAGTTTATACCATGTCAGTACTTAAATCTGTCGCATTAGCATGACAGAATAGTCTCTCAATAGCAATTTTTTCTGCTTTTAAGGCTTGAAGGGAACTTTTGGTTGGAATCCAGGAAAGCTTGTTGCATACTTTTTAGATATGGTTTGCATTGACTTATCTTAAATCTTAGTTAAATATCTTACTTAAAGTTCACATGTAACACTTACTTGATCTGGCTCCACGGATTATTTTAAATCACCAATTCTAGATGTGGCTGAAACCAGCAGACAGACTTATCTTGAATTTTGTTTTGGCTTGCGCTTCTTAGTTATTTTCCTGCAAAGTTCAACTTTCTCTGATTGGGATTGATTGGGATAGCAACGAAAACGTTGATTAGCAGCAAAAGTCAGTCTTTCTACTAAACAGACTATTTTTCCCAAAGTGAGAGAGACATTCCGTCTATATTGGATAAGATAAACAATTTCTAGATCTCACCAAACAGCATTTCTTTTTGTGTGTGTGTGTGTGTTATTTTCAGAAAAAAAGATTAATACTCTATTTTTTTTCCCATATGTACTCAGTCAGGAGCTGCATTCAAATGAAAATTTGGTTCCAAGTAATGATCGATGGTGTGTTTCATCACAAAATGAGAATGAATATTCTGGACATACACAAACACTTGCCAAGATGCATTATTTCATCTGAAACGGCTGTATTCAGAGCCATTGTGATCATATTAAAAGAACAAAACTGCAGACAGCTGCCCTGCTCCCATACAGCCCAAATGGGTCAGGTTCATTTAAACAGATTTAAAAGCCATCTGTGCTCATGCAGGTCACTTTGGCGGAGAGGGATTTTGGAGAGCTCGGATGGACAGCTTGTCCAGCACCGGGCTTGCAGGGGACCAACAGCCAAGCAGAGCCACAGACCCTGACGTGGGGCTAGATGAAGCTGGTGAAGGGTCTAGAGCACAAGTCTTATGAGGAGCAGCTGAGGCAACTGGGCTTGTTTAGCCTGGAGAAAAGGAGGCTGAGGGGAGACCTTATTGCTCTCTACAACTACCTGAAAGGAGGTTGTAGCGAGGTGGGGGTCAGTCTCTTCTCCCAAGTAACAAGCGATAGGACAAGAGGAAATGTCCTCAAGTTGCGCCAGGGGAGGTTTAGATTGGATATGAGGAAAAATTCCTTCACTGAAAGGGTTACCAAGCATTGGAACAGGCTGCCCAGGGAAGTGGTTGAGTCACCATCCCTGGAGGTGTTTAAAAGATGTGTAGATGTGCTGCTTAGGGCCATGGTTTAGTGGTGGACTTAGCAGTGTTGGGTTAATGGTTGGACCTGATGATCTGAAAGGCCTTTTCCAACCTAAATGATTCCATGATTTTATGTCTGCATGGGGGTAGATGAAGACCTCTTTAAAATTTAAAGAGATGCATCCCACCCAAAGCACCAGATTTTTTCAATCAGAAATCACAGTGATGGTCTCCTCCTGCCCCCTCTGATCTTCATTGACTAAAAGAGAAACATAATTTCTCTTACTATTTCACCTCCCACGTGACTGTACAAGGCTGAATAATAAGGAAGCACTATCCTCTGTGCTTGTTTGCAAATGAAAAGTAATAGAGGCAAAAGCCTTCCAATCCAGTAGAAGCTACTTTTTCTGACAACTGGGTAAATATAAATGCCAAAATTCATTCCACTGGAAAGAGTGCAGATATATTCTTAAAGTAACACATGATACTGCAGTATTGTAACAGAGAATGACTTGAACTCGAGAGTTGGAGGTGGCTTTTACTCTGTGCACATCTATAACTAAAAGCATCTCCTTTTAGATCATTGAAACTTGAGGAGGGTCCAGTGATGCAGCAGGCATTTACTTATTTCAACAGTTTTAAGATCAGCAAAAGAGGCTGCAGAGCAGCCAGCCATGTTTCTGCCTTAAAAAACTTACGCAAAACACCCAACTGAAATAAAACTGATTTAAGCAAACTCTCTTTTGTGAACTTCAGAAGCTGCTGTCCTCCTTCAACAGCCTGAAAGCTGGAAAAGTGTCACCAGAGAGTCTGTGCCACATGAATATCTCCCATAAAGATGATCTCTGAGCTGTGGTTCAGGACGAGGTGACCCTTAGTGCCAGCATCAGCCTTCGAGATGCCGCTTTTAACCGATTCCTTTCTGTCCTTCACAGTGCCAGATTTTGCGAGGGTCCGGACCTGGCCGTCCTGCAAGGTGAATGGGATGCTGCTGGTCTGGCACCACTGCGAAGGGATCAGTCCAACATGGGCAGTGCCCGAGCAGCGCGAGATCACCACCAAAGAGTGGGTGTTCCGTGGGCAGACGGAGCACTTGGTTGATGCACACATCCAGGTAGGGAGCCCGCTCCCTCCGTGGGGCATGTTCACTCCTGGCTCCTCTCCTGTAGTCCAGTTCAGGGACATCTCCTCCCAAGTTAACTTGTTCAGGGATATCTCCTCCCAATTAACCAGGCCCTGCCTGTGCTCAGTGGCATCACTGCTGCTGGCGGACCTCAGACCTAGAAATACATCCCTGTGTTGTATACCGAGAATATGGCATATGTTCCCCAAACACGGATCATGAGCTTCTCAAGTAGAGAACAGATGTTCTGGGTACTTAAAAGGAATCTGTTAATTTGCTTTGACTTATAACTGATGTAATTTAAAAAAAGATTCTCTAAGAATTGCGGCACTTGGCGTCAGGAAGCTTTTCAACTCATCAATCACTGAAATGGAAACACACAGTTATTTTGCTGTTAATCTTCATAATCACCATCATACACTGACAAATGTGCCACAAAGAACAAAATGGCTGTTGCCTCAATCGCATCTCAGTGGAAATGAATCCGGAAAAGGGGAACCGTTCTGTGGCACTAAACAGAAGGGACCACGGCCGTGGTCCTCGGAGGGAGCAGGTGCAGGTGGAGGCTCCTCTGGGAAAGCAATGGGAGGCAGCAGCAGTTTTGAAACTGGGCAATCCCTGGAGGTCCTTGGGAGATTTTTTATATGCTTGCTGCTGAGCAGAACACTTCTGTTTGTAAAAATCAGTGACAAAAATGACCCTTAATCTAGAGTGCACGTCTCTCCAAAGGCAGTGCCTGCCTGCTGACTAAATCATGACTAAGGTGAGCGGGTTAGAAAGGAACGGAGAATTATCAGAAGAAATTAAGAACGTGCATGAGACATAGGAGATACAGCTCTGGGAGTGTGCAGAGGAGATGTGAGAAGCAGGGAGAATTTGGGAGATTGATGGAATAGTAATATTTATTTCACGTCTGCTTTGCAGTGCAAGCCACTGTACACAGGTCTATACTGGGGCCAGTCCGTGCTACTTGCCAAGCTGGTGGAAAGCTGGTATATTTGAGTAATAAAGCCATTAAAATTTCTCAAAAAGTGACATATTGTGGGCAGGCTGGTGGGGTTTAAAGGTTTAAAAGCATGTGAAAACTAGTCTAGGAGCACAAACATAAAAATGCTTTATTCGTTATGATTACAGGGCCAAAGGAAGGACTGACTTGGAGTTCCAGCTTGTGCAGCTGCAGAATTTAACATGCATAGACTCCTTTGAGCTTAAAATGAACTGTGAATTTTCTAAGCTTCATGTTTAAATTATTCTTATACACTAGTTCAGAACTGGTCCCAGGTCAGTCTGTGCTGAGGCCCCTTCCTCCATGCACTCAGTTGCTTCTTGCTGTGTCATGGACCTGCGAGCATCTCTGCTGTGCTCGGAGTGATGTGCTGGGCTGTACTGCAGCCACGCTGGTGCTATTGCAACATTGCTGTTAAGTACAGGCAGCTCACAGCCAAGTCAGCTCTCACCAATGGCAAATTGTTCCCCAATGGCAGGAAATCCCCGAGAACGCGGCTGACACGGCTCACCTGGCATTTCTCCATGGACCAGCTATTCTGGGCGGATCTGATCTGAGATACACAAGGTCCAAGCTGTGGGATTTCATGAAGCATATCTGGAAGGTAAGACCCTACCTCCCCTCTTAGCCATGAGGAGGCTGAAGTCTTTCAAACCCTTTCTGCCTCAAAGCATCAGTCCCACCTCATCCCCTCTGCTGCCTCCCCCCATCTTCAGGTCCAGTCTCTTTTCTGTGTCTCTGAGGGTTTTGTCTGCACTCCCTCATCTGTGCTCATCTGTAGATGTTCTTCACAGCCAGCTTTTGTCACTATCTCACCCTCAGCCTGCACTCCCCACCTCTCAGACTGAGCTAATCCTTCTCCATCCCTCCAGGCGGAGTGGCGGCCAGAGCCAGAGCCCAACAAGCATTGCTCCCAGCTGCTGGTTCAACACACCACAACCATCTTTGGGAAGCACATCTCCTTGATGGATTTGATGGCTTCAGCCAGGCAGGTGTGTCCCGCGCTGGTGACCACCAGCACCCTGAGCTGAAGGGCTTTGTCACCCAAAAGGCTAAATGAGTCCTTGCCTATCCTGCCCAGTGTAGCCTTTCCTACCAAGTGCATCAGGCACACGGGCCAAAACTACACATTGGCATTGGGGCTGCTCCACAGCTGGGCAGCACAGAGAAAAGGGAGGGTTCCTAAAGGCTACTGTCCCCACAAAACAGATTAAAAAAAAATAAATAGCTAGTAGCTGCGCAAACACTGGTGACAATCCCAAGGGACCTTCACACGGCTTTGTCACAGCTCTTTACAATACAGAAGTGTGAACCATTTCAGTCCATGGCAAACGTGCCTGGGAAAGGTGTAGGGAGCACTCAATATACAGTAAGAAACACTTTGAGGATGTTGATCTGCGTGATCCAAAGACCTCAGAGGTTTTCAGACAACTTTCTGGAAAGCACAAAGATTTGTCAGTTTACCAACATTTACACTAAAGAAATAAATTCATACTAATGTCAAGAGCTCCTTCTGCAATTGAAAGTTTGCTCATTTTCTTATTTTTTTCCTCTCCTGTGTTTTTTGGTTGGTTGGTTGGTTGGGGGTTTTTTGTTTTGGGAACATGTTTATTAATCATACTTCTCTTTCCCCTCTCCACTTCCAAAAAATCAGACACAGTGTGTCTTGTAGCCCAAGATCCGCCCTGAATGAGATAATAAAGTAGTTGACACAAATTGATAAAGAATTAAAGGAAAATACAAATAATGCCATTAAACATGAATCAATGGGAACTAGATGTTCTCACTTTCATTTTTGCTTGTGGTTTTGGGGACTTTTTTTGATGAAATGTTAAGCTTGCCTTATAGAACTAGTAACTTTGTTCTAGTACATTTTTGAAGGCATTTGACCTAATTCCCATATTACAGATTCAGAACAATAGCAAAACAAGTCATGATACAAAACTTTGATAAGGGATAGCTCTTGATGCAGTTAGGGAATTATCACAAAATGGATGTTGATTGTATCTCTGTTCAATTCTTAGATACGTGCTATTTAGCACTGATATCAATGAACAGGAGAAAAAAGACATTAAAATAACCTTTCAAAGAGTTTGTACCCAACCAAACATTAAAGGAGTAGTAAATAAAGTAGCCAAAACCCCCAGCAATATCTGCACTGCTTCAAAGAACTACATGTATGAACATGCATCTGCGTGTCTGAATGTAAGTCAAAGAGCAGAGAACAAGTACTTCATGTCATGCAAGCTAAAAGGCTGAACCTGATTTCAGCTAAAACCTAATGTGACTGTTGTAGCTGCAAAGGAGAAAGCCAGGGCAGGAGTAGGGATGTTGTATTACCTCCATATTGTATTGCATTCACTGCAACTGAGATCCGGAGCCCAGGACTGGTGTCAACAGTCCAATAAGGCTGTTCGTGACCTGAAGGTAATTCAGTGACGAACAACAAGACCAAGTGAAAATTTGGAAGTGTTTCCTAAAAGATTAGATTTTAAACTTTCTGGGACCAGTAGAGCACTGTAAACCCCCATGAATTCCCATAGGCCCACAGCAAAGCCATCCAGCCCTGACACATTTGTGAATGTCCCATGGAAATACAGGCTGCATGGCTCTGCAGGATTTCCCCTGCCCGCAGAGCATTAACTGTTGGCAAGCAGTCTGTGACTCTCGGCTCTGAGGTGTAGCTTGACTTTTTGCCTATTATCTGATGAAAAGGCAGAGTAAGGGGGGACTTGAGCATGGTCTAGAAGACGTCTCAAGCTGTGGGAGCTGCTGTACCAGAGGGCTGGTCCATTGGGGACTTTTCCCTGAGGGTGCTCCGTTGCTCTGCAGGTGGGGCCAGGGCTGGTTTTCCTGATCTTTGAACATGCTTTCCTGGGCCGTGGGATCATCCTGCAGACGGTGACTCCCCTGGAGCCTCTCCTGCAGAATGTTGTTCACAAAATCTATTACCAGAAGAACATGCCGGCCATAATCCCCAAGTTCATCCTGAGAGCAGAGTGTATACAGGTAAGGCCCCTGAAGAAGAGCAGCCAAAGGTGGTCCCCTAGAGCTTGGTGGCTAGGAGGTGTGAGAGGGAAGAGCAGTTGCCCACATGGGCTCAGATATATGTGGGAGCAAAGGACTCATGGGCAAGATCCTTTCAGTGCTTGGTATGATCTTTCACTTTTAGTAGCCCAAAGAACTAAACTGGAGGTTTAGTAAAGAGGGTCCCTGCAGTGGGCCATTTGTTGAGGGTGGCGGAGAGGAGCTATCCCTCTCCTGCAGATGGGGAATAGGGGCATAAGGATGAGGCAACCTCTCCCAAGCTCCCCAAGAAGTCTTTGAGGGAACTAATAACTGCATCTGGATTTCCAGCATCCCAGGCTGGTGCTTTAAGGTCATCCTATCTCCTTTGGTGAGAACTGAGCCAAGAAATCCTCCTGCTGTCAATTATGAGATTGGGCAACTCCCAACAGAGGTTTTCCAGGTCCTTACCACAGAGATTCATGGAAGTGGCGAAAGGTCCCTCTGGAGGTCTCCAATTCGATATCCTAGTTGGGACAAGACTATTGTCAAATTCAGGTCAAGCATTGCCTTGGAGGTCTCCTCCTTTGGAGAATGCCCCCATCTCTCCAGGTCCTTGGGTGGCCCATTCCATTATTGCTCTACCCACGTTGTTAATTTTTAATTTTAATATCCATTTTGAACTTCTCAACCTGTAATCTGTGGTTGTTACTCCTTGTTATACCAGCTGGCACTACCAACAGAAAGCTGACTCCATCACTCCTGTAACTCCCTTCAAGCAGTCAGAAGAGTTCATCTCATTCCCTTCTGTCAGGGGTCAAAGTCTGGAAACTGTTTGGTCTGACCAGAGAGAGTTTCACTGGCACGACAGCAAAAATTGCCAGAAGATTATTTTCAGATGCCAAAAACCTACCCCAAATCAAATTTGGCTGTGCTAGCTCCTATTGTATAAAAGGTGGCTTAATACTGTGCATTCTTACTAACGTGAATGAGCAGCACTCATTTCTGCAGAGACCTCTTCACAGAGGAAAGCTCCATAAATCTTACTGCATGTGTGTGTGTGTGTGTGTGTGGGCAGAGTTTAAGATGCAGATGCTTAATTTATAAAGGTCTGGTTGGCTGGAGCTACCCAAAGAATCAAAAATCTCAGGTGGAGCAGCTCCTACCTACACAAGATCCATTTCTTTTCCAGTACCTCCTATGACAGAGGCAGTCTAAGCTGAAAGCTTCTTATTTGGGATCTACGATGGGCTAAACATCTGCTAACTGCAGACAGAGCTGTAGCGTTACAAGTTACAAATAGCACGAGCAGTCCCACGCCAGCCATTTGGGAGAAATGCTAAAAAAGAAACCTACTGTGCAGGTAGATCACAAAACTCCTGGTTCAGCGTCCCCACCTGAATGAGAGCATCCTTCTTCCCCCAGTTTGAGCGCGATATAACCATCTGGAATAACAAACAGTATCTGCCCAAGCCGCTGCTGGTCAGAGAGGACTCCAGCATCCAAAAGCACCGGCGCTGGTACGCCCAGTTCTACAGCGAGAAGAGCGCGAGGCTCCTGGCACAGAAGGAGGGCCTGGACTGGTGAGGACCTTGCTGCCCGCTGCAAAAGGTGGCCAGAGGCTCTTGGGTGGCTCCTGCCACCCTGGCTGGTGGGCAGCGCTGCTGGGCAGGCATGATCAATATAACAAATATGGCACTGGCACAGGGAGCAGAGCCTGAGCCCTGGCGATCCTCCCTCTTTTACCTTCTGTGTTTGGGGCATCAAAGCCTGAAGGGTGTAACATGCTTCCTCTTGTACCTGTGCTGCAATGTATGAGCTGAGCGTGAACTTCAGATTTCTAGAACTGTCTTTGAAGTGCCCTTGTCTCTTGCTGCTGCTATTGTTTTGAGTAGTTATATGAAAGTTTTTCATGTGGTCTTTTATTGCCTGAAGTGTCTTTTCCCAGCCAGGCCTGCTGTTGCTTCTGCACTATCACCTTGGCTGGGGCAGGCTTCAGCTCTCCAGGGGAGCCTTGGCAGGTGCCTGCATGGCATCAGGGGTGTGATTGCCAAGCCCACAGACATATGCCGTCTTCCTTCTCTCTGGCAGCAGGCAGGGCAGCATGGGTTTTAGCTGCCCACCATGTCCTTATTATACCTGTGGGCTTCCTCAAGCCTACTGAGCTCTTGCATGAGTCAATTCCTTATGAAGCTATTGCACCTAGTTGGGAAGAAGAAGGACTATCCCGGTGACCAAATCATTTAGACTGACAACTACTCTGCAGGTCAGGGATGTGAATAAGATTCTGCTTTGGTAGTCCCTGGATTCCAGCAATACCTTGGGTACATAGTTGGCTGTAAAAATTTGTCTCATGGCAAGACCATAGGTATCACTTACTGTCACTGTGATCAGAAATGAAGCTAACAGAAGGAGACCAGGCTGCAAATCTGATGAAAACTGGACTAGATTCTCCTGTGCTTTGTGCCTACATACTCTGTATTAAAGGGCTAAATTCTGCCTTGCTGCATACCCTAGAGAAACCTGTAATCTCCATGGGCAGAGCCTGACGTGTATAGTTAGCAGGACTCTGGCAGTTACTGTATGCCAAGAGCCAGCAAGTGCAAATACTCAAATCCAGCTTTCCAAGGAGGCTGGTAGATGCCATTCTCATGCGCTGTGCGCTTGCCTGTGCCTTGTGAATTCTTCACTTTGCTGAGGCTTCTGGTTCCTCCTTCACCATTAACCCAGAGCAGGACCAGGAGCAGGAACACGCCAGCGCAGTCCTCTGCCAGCGCAGAGTCCATCACCCACCCTGGCAGCATCCCAGATAACTGTGTGCAAGCTGTGCCTTCGCCCTTCACATCTGGCTATTCCACTGTCAATATGTCACTATTAAATTTTTTTTAAAAACTGATCTCATGTTCACCATTTGTTGTTCTTCACTGTTTTGTGGGGAGGTTTTGCAGGGGAGAAGTGATTCTGCAGCTCGCCCACGCTGTCCTGCTTCAGGAGCCACAGGTAATCTCCAGCAAGGAGCTTAAGGAGACAGCAGGAGATTGGACAGGGAGCATTGCCCAACCCAACAGCCTGAGCCTCTCAAGGACCCGAGAGTGCTAGTATGTCTTAGTGGCCCTGACCAGCCTCACCTGGGGCATTCATCCACTCCCTGCCCATGGCCCAGGAGCCCCATTTCAGCTCAGCTCTGGACCTTCAGTCCCTGTCCTGAGCTATGCTGTAGGAAGTCTCCGGCTGTCGCAGACATGCCCATGCCTGGTTGATCTGACCTCTGACCACAGACTGACTTCCCAGCTTGAACTCCACCCTGTTTCATGACCGGGGATCTGCCCACCAATTGCTGGGCTGTGTCTGACCCTGGCTACCCTTACCAGATCCCAGCCCTGAGCTGCAGATTGACTTCCCAGCTTGAACCTCAGACCTGCCTCATCACCACGAGCTTGCCTGATGATCTAGACTCTTGGTTGAGCCTGGCCATGAGCTCTGGTCCTGCCCTGCCCATCCCGCTCAGGGGTGGTGGAACAGTCCTTGGCTCCCACCACCCCATTCCTTAGGGAGCAGCTGCCCTCACCATGATGGGTGATGAAGAAGCAGCAAGAAGCAGAAATCGCAACTATAGACAGGACAGAGATGTTACATTACATGATGTGGGTCAAGATATACTGTTCACCCACATGTTCATGGGGGCACATGGCCACCACACACAGATGCAAAAGTACTAAATTGTCTTGCAGCACACCTGGGCTGTTGCTCCCCGCTCCTCACTGTGTTCCACATACAGGATCTCAGGATGAACAAAACTCTAAGGAAGGCAAATTGTTGAAGATCACATTAGAGATGGTGAGTTACATTAGCTTTGCTAGATTCATCAGTCCTTCTGACATCAGAGGAAACTATGGGTTACCTCCAGCAGAGCCTGAATTCTGAGCTACCATTTCCTTTATTGTGAAGGCTAAAGTAGTTGTGTCCTGTTAAGGCAGAAATTAGAGAATTGGGAAGTAAAACAGGATTAGCTTAAGCATCTTATGTTTCCATTTGCAATCTTATTTATCCTTTTAAATGTGTCTAGCAAAAAGGACAATTTAGTTCCAGGAAGACACTGGCATGCCAAGGAGCACTGTCCTCCAGTCTTCTATGCCTTTTGGCTGTACATTACCCACCTTACATATTTAGATTTTCAAATAAATCCTAACTCCTATCTGGTTAGGATGTGAGGGCACCTATTGTTTACTGAAATCACTTTTACATCAAATCTACTGCAAAGCTACAGCCATTCATACTATTATATTCCAGTAGTTTTATTTATTATTGTGGCTTATCTTCACACTTGACCACTAGCCACAGGAGCTTATCCAATTGCCAGGCCTATCAACATTCCATGTCTTTTGGTTTTTTTCCCCAACTAACAAATTCACTATAAACTTCCTAATTCTCAAGCAAAGTTGGGGTTTTTTTTTGCTTGTTTGGGGGGGGGGGGGATGGGTGGTGGGTGCAAGGCTAGAAACCCCCAAAAGAATCAAAACAGGTCAAAGAAAAGGATACATGAAGGATGACAAACAACGTACCTTGGATTTTCCAGCAGTAGGCCCGGTCTCCTTCTCCTTTGAGACCTGGACTATGTACTTATTCCACTTGGGGCAATTCCCCAGTTGTTTCTGGTTTATTTGGAGGTAGGTCTCAGAGCTCCAAACAGCATCAGGAAGGCTGCGCTCCTGCATGCAGAACTGCCAGTGATCCCCATTCACCAGTGCATCCTTGTGACCCTGTGAGACACTTTGATGCAGGTCAAGACTGACATATAGCCTCTAAGCAAAGATTTCTGTGCCCTTTAATATTTTGGCTATCATTATTGTCGTGGTTTAACCCCAGCCAGCAACTAAGCACCACGCAGCCGCTCACTCACTCCCCCCCATCCAGTGGGATGGGGGAGAAAATCAGGAGAAGAAGTAAAACTCCTGGGTTGAGATAAGAACGATTTAATAGAACAGAAAAGAAGAAACTAATAATGATAATGATAACACTAATAAAATGACAACAGTAGTAATAAAAGGATTGGAATGTACAAATGATGCGCAGGGCAATTGCTCACCACCCGCCGACCGACACCCAGCCAGTCCCCGAGCGGCGAATCCCTGCCCCCCCGCTTCCCAGTTCCTAAACTAGATGGGACGTCACATGGTATGGAATACCCTGTCGGCCAGTTTGGGTCAGCTGCCCTGGCTGGGCATGAGAAGCTGAAAAATCCTTGACTATAGTCTAAACACTACTGAGCAACAACTGAAAACATCAGTGTTATCAACATTCTTCACATACTGAACTCAAAACATAGCACCGTACCAGCTACTAGGAAGACAGTTAACTCTATCCCAGCTGAAACCAGGACAATTATAAATTGCTGCCACAGGCCTTGTCTTGTGGAATGGGCCTGCTCAGCGCCTCCTCAATGCCCAAATGCCTCTTTTCTCCTGGGGTTGAAAGCAAGTTCGCAGGCAGATCTGCTGATCCCAGTGAAAATCTCAGACCATGCTGGGCAGAAACATGGCACGTGTGAGTCAAAACTATCTCGCCCAGTATAAGCTTGCACTGCTTTAGCAGCATAAAAGCCAGCTGAGCTGAACCTGTCCTGGTGGTGTGAATACAAACGCTGCATTACAATACACCAAACCACCCCTCCGGAAGGCTTGGTTCACTTTCTGCTACTTATAAATGTCTCACTAGTGAGAGGAGCAGGTTCACCGCACTGGCAACCAAGCATGAGACAGAAGATGTGCTGGAAAATGCCTTAGGCAGCTTTCAATGCACAAGGGATGCAGGGAGAAGCCCACTGCAGAGTTTTATGGCTGATGAGGTCCATCAAAGGGACTGCTGCTGAGATTTAGGTCACTTTAATGGATGTTTTCACTCTTCAGAACACGACACTCAGCACTGGGCAATGTCCTGTTCATGTGCTTGAAAAATAGAAAACCTCAGACACTTTTTTTTTCCTAAAGGTTGTTTTATTGTAAAACCATAAATACAACACTGACATGAAAATCCTCAAGCAACGGATGCTTTCTTACAGTTACAGTTTGTCTTCTGCCTTGGCATCAACTCTGAAAAGAATGTTGCAGAAACATGTCTCTAATATCTCCAAATAACTAAGCTCTGGCCTGGAGCACTCAGCTTGTTTGGAAGCTAAGTGGAACTATTCCTCCTCTCTTGTGGAATATTTCCATTCAGACAGCAACAGACTTGTAGAAACAGCAACATTTAAACACCTTGATTTTTTTTTTCTTTAATAATCCTTTTCATTTGACGTCAGTCTAAGTTTCAAACAGCACTGAATTTATTTAGCTGTAAAAAAACAAAACAAAACAAAACAAAACAAAATCCTAAAAAGAAAAAAATCAGAAGAACTTGAGTTGGCCTCAAGCGTTCATATATCACAACGAAAATCAGCAACTCAACCCCGTGCAATATTGCTCTCTATTGAGTCATTCGATCCACACCAACAATACATGAGACTTCAAACAGGTTTTGTTTTGTTTATTAACACAGCAAGTGTGACATTAGATAACCTTTTAAATACAGTACATGGTACAGTGCGGGGCCAGTTGCCCGCACTTTTCCCCATTATGAAGACAAAGCCAGCGGTGGCGGTTTATAAAAATATTGTGTTGCTACAAAAGTATAAATTAATGCTACCGGTATTAAGAAATATTAAACACATAAAACTTATAAGGATTAAGAAAAATATTCATTAATACCTGTAGAAAACTCTGGCCTAAAAAAGATATTTTTTGTATATTTTTTGTATATTTTTTTGTATTTTTTAAGATGACATGAGATTCTTGCACTCGCAGGTAGAGACACACGCAGGTGCATCTGTGGTATTGCCTAGAACATCTGCATCTACAGAAAGGAAGGAAATGCACACAAGTTACTGAGGGGAGGGAGGGTGAGGAGGGAAAGGAGAACATTAATTGTTTGCTTGATGAAACAACAAGAATTCAGCTCCCAACAGGAGGTTTCAAAAAACGAACATATGAACGAGGAACAGCTTCTCTTTTCAGACTGGCTGCAAACAAGGATTTCCTGATGGTTTGGTTTGTCGGCATGACACTTCCTAGCTACGGCGTGGACCAGAATCCTCACAGTCTGGACGATGTGTGCTCCTCCTGGACTTACAGCCTTGGCTAGTCACCTGTCACGAATGTTTCAGTCCATCCATTATCAGTTTTCCTTTTAAATAATTAAAAATAATAATATTATAGTCCCAGTAAGTTTAAAGGGACCATGGAAAACAGCTCCTAATACTGTTGCTCCTTCCAGAATACATGCCTCCATCCTTGAGTGGAAAGGTCCTTCTCCATAGATAGCAAGGAAAAATAAAAAAAAAAAAAAAAAAAAAAAAAAAAAAAAAAAAATCCCTCCTCCCACCCCCCAGCCCACTGGAAAAAAAACCCCAAACCATCCTATCCACACACATTGCAGAGACTGCCCCAAGAATCCCTAGAAGTCTGAAAACAAGCATTCAAGGCTGATGAGGCTGGAAGTGTCTTTTTAAGGAACTTTGGTTGTAAAAAGCGAGGATTTGACATGCCTGTACTCATCAACTCCACTGTAAAATATTCCTATCGTTAAGGCTGCGCTGCTCACCTGGGTATCAAGACATGCTGACCACTGTCAATGATGCTAGAACGATGGAAAGGAAGAAAATCCTTCCAGTCAGTGGTTGATGTTGTGCATCAATGAGCCATTTACGTGACTCATTTCAGAAGCTATTCTAAAAAATTCAAACTCGGCTGCCTACAGATCATTAAACCCTAAAGGGCCTACTGGATACACCATTGTCTAATGTGAGCGAAACTCTTCCGTCAAGTTATAAAACAAAGGACTCTAACAGGAGTAGTAAAAAACCCAACTAACCAGCCAAACAAAAACCAAAATTAAACAGAAATCCCCCAAACATTCAATATATAAAATTAAATTTCAGGGCAATACACTCTCATTGGTTTACCATTTCTGGCCTAGCATAAGCAAATTGTCCCACAGTACTAATCAGGCATTCAGCTCGGAGCTGTGCTTGGGTTTACCTCTCTGTATTTTATTGTTTTGTTCAGTGACATTTCCAGAAGCCCCAGGAAGATTGATAACCCGTGGCATGGCGACAGGCCCCATGCACTGTAAAAAGGGAGTTCTTATTGCTACAGAGCAACATCTTCAGAAATATCTGACACAGGACCTTGTGTCTCAGCCAATGCTTCTGGGCATTCCCAACAGATCCCATGGTTTCAAGATCATGGTGTAGCACAGCAAATGCACAGCAGAAGCAGCAAAACATTTAATACTCTCCCCCACCCCGATTCTTTCACCTTAGCAGTATAAGGGTTGACAAGACATTTGCTCAACTGGTGTTTTCTCCTCTGCCCCTCAGCTACCTCCCTCCTTTATGAAACCTGGTTAATGTATATACTGGAGTGCTGGGAAGGGTTTGGTGCCAGTGGTGACTGGGACGCTGCGGAGGAAGATGCTCTGTGAACCCTCCTGGACCTATCGGGCAGAACTGGCATTTCCCACCTCTATACCCAGTTTCTCTTCTCTCGGCAAGGTCCAAAGCAGCCTTGTGCCTTATGGAGAGTGCTCCATGTAGCTGTACAGCCTCGTTTTAAATGATAGGGCTCAAAAAACATTCCCGTAACAGACTCCTCCCAGATGAACAGATTTCTCCTCCCTGAAAAGGTTTCCCAGAATATGCCTTTAGAGTCTTTTTTGTTCATTTCCATCCCATTACTCCTAATTATTCCATAGGGAACAACCTGTCCCTTCCTGCATGTCCTTCCTCTGAATGCTCACAGGAGCTCCTCTCCAACCTCCTTTAGCCAGAGGGATGCAATTAGAGATCCAAGTCTTTCCTCAGTACAAAGCAGCACTCCCAGCCTCTGAATAACTTTTTGGCTGCTCTTTTACTGTCTTTTGATTTATCAGTAAGTTGGTGCTGTCTAGAAATGCACACAGCATTCTCCAAGTAGCACAATGCCTCAGTCACCCTGCTCCTGTGCAACACTATGTCCAGGCTTGCCTACTGTGGGATCCAGAAAGTGGAAACGGTCCTTCAGACTGAGAAAGGCCGAGCAGACTCATCCACCAATATAAACATATGTGGTAATATCTTCTCACACTAAACCTTCCATGTTATTGCAAGCAGTTGGAGAAAAACAAACCAACCAACCTGAGACATCTCACTGAATACTGTATTAACTCAGGTACCACCATTTAGAGCTCAAGCAATTTTCAGAAGTGTCTCCCCTCTATTTTCAGTCATTCCCAAGCTTTGAGAGTGTATCTGCCGCAACTTCATTTACAAAATTCACATAAGGGTCATGACTCCCTGAGCTGCTTCTGGACGTATTCTCTGATCAGCAGGGGAGAACACCCAGCAAGCGCAGTTAAACCAGTGCAGGTGGTTCATGGGGATGCTTAAACCAATTTATCTCGAGGTTAAACTGGTTTAACCACCAATTAACAAACTGAATTAGACAAAACCTGAGCCCACAGTCAGCTTTCACAGAAAGTTTTCCACATTGCACTAGTTCATATACAACCAAATCAGTTTTCTTAAAACAAACATATAGCTTTGACAAAAAGGAAAGTTTACTTCCATCTGAAACCGACCCAGGTGCAAGACACCGAGCCCATCTTGCAAGCCAGAACACAACTGTTGTCTACTGCTAGAGACATGGGGAGAAGAGACAGACACAGGAGACAGATCTGGGCTCCATGTTCTCTACTGACCCTCTGGCTGCTGTGCTCACACAGAAACAACTGTTCTGAAGAGCTCTGCCTCTGTATCCCACTTTCTCAGTTTTCTAGTAACAAGGATCTTCAGACAGGACTTCAGACAGTAACATGAACTTCAAACAGTTCATCTTCTGTTGGTGCTTGCTCCCCACCTGAAGATCATAACCCTTCCCAAAGCAAACTGTGAAGTCAAAAGTCTGCAAGGTCAGGCACCGTGTTAAGCAGCAGAAACAAATGAATGCCTGGAGGACACATACACCATTTTTGTATTCCAACACATTCCTCAAGTGCGAGTAAAGGAAACAAACAAACAGAAGGCAAATTCCCAACATGACCTACCAGAGGATGAGCCCAATTCTGAAGACTTCTCCTCCCAGCTGAATGGGAGCAGAACCTCATGACAGCTCTGGCCAAACTATTAGATCCTCTCCTCTCCGGTCTCCCACCACAGGAGGTGCTGCTCCATACTACTGAGCCAATCATTGAATAGAATCATAGAATAGTTTGGGTTCGAGTAACCTGGCATATTAAGAGCTTCCAAAATTCAGACCTTGGTAAAGTATCTTTGCTCCCTAGAATGCAAATCCAAGCCTTCAAGAGGAAGGAGAAACAGAAGCAAAAGCTTGGCATTTAGGGTAAATATGTATGCTCCAGATGTGCTTCTCTCCTTTTAATGAAGCGTAAGTGTATCAGACAGAAGTCAGCCTGTGAGCAGACACAGCATGAATAGCTCCTCTGAGCTGAACACCCTGTAACCACGTTTAAAACTCATGAAAAGATGTGGCTTCTTCCACTGACTTGCTGGAGAAGGGGGCTGGCCAACCAGCTCCTCTTCTCACCTACTTTCCAGATTGTTCCATTTTAGGGCTTTTGGTTTTATCTCGCCTTTTCAGCTGCTAAATTGAGTTTTTAAGTCTTTGGGAGAATCTCACCTACCAGACATTGCTGCATGTTTGCTTAAATACCATCATTAGTGCAACTGTAACCAGAGTTGCCTTGAAGGGGACAGTTACTTGGATGGGGGAGAGGGCCAGTCAATCCCTCTCTTTGGTTGTGACAATAAGAAAGCTCCAGATCGGATGCCAAAACCACACTGTAAAAAGGAGAATGGGAGATGGGCTGGGAGTTAAGGGTGGCTGTGGCCTTTCTGTTTGCATGCCCTGGCTGTGCAGCCATGGTCCAGCTCACTGCTGTGCGCAGCCTGGCATCCAATGGTTGCACAAATGACTGCAATTTTACCTCATTCTCAGCTCCAGGGCTTTAAACCTGTGCTAACTCTGCTTTGTCCACTTCTCCACCCTTAATGCCTTGCAGACAGACAACACAATGAGCCCAAGTTGGCAAATCCTACAGAAGTTATCAGCCTGTCCCTTAGCAACAGAGTGTTGGGGTTTGGAACTTTCTTTTCAAAGGAATGCAAGGGTTTTGCACATTCAGGGTCTCAGGCGAACCAAGCAAAAAGGTGTAACGTGCTACAGGAGAAAGAACTACAAATCCTGTCCCCAGTTCTGCCCATCGGCTGAGCTGCACAGTACACACTTTGCAGCCTCAAAAGCAAATCTTGCTTTGGATTCATCCTCCAGCCAAGTCTTCTTGCTGCAGGATACTTTGTGCTTTACAGTGGGAACAGCAGCACAGCACAAACGCTTTGTAATTGGCACACATCTCAGTCGGGTTTTTTGTTTGTAGTTTCAGACTTAGTTATTGTTTGTTACAGGTTTCTCCTGCACTGCAAGTGCAAACAGATGTGTTACTATAGGCCCAACTGGTGGCTGGGCAGGCAGGACTTGTACAGGAGAAAATAAAACCAGCAAGAAGAAAAGTTGGCCCTACAGCCAACACCTCCTTTTGCAAAAGCCACTGCCAGAGAAAACAAGATGTCCAAGTGCCTCTGCCTTGGCAGCTCATCTTCAGGTGCTGCTACTCCTGCAGTTGTCAGTGGGGTTGCAGACTGTGTCTTTTAAGATATCCATATGCAAAACTTACATTTAGGAGACAACTAGTTTTGCCCTGATGCCAGTAACCGTGCCGACAGGTCAACACAAATGCTAGACTCAAGCTAATAGTAGGTCCTGTTTCCAGGCTGAAAAGGGCAAGACAGCTGGGTGCAAAGAGCTATTCTCAGTGACCTTGACCTAGGGAAAGTCTCTAGCATGCAAACTGTCCCCCTGTCTGAGCCCCATGGCACTGAAGCTGTCAGTTAGTGCCTGTCAGGTTCAAAGCATCTGCACGCAAAGCCTGAGAGATTGGGTTTGCCATTTCTCCTATCTTGGGACTTGCAACTTCTATTACAACCAGAGATGGGCAGGTGGGATCTTGGTTTAACATCTGTTCAACAGCAGCATTTCAAAGAGGGCCTCCAGTCTCACCACTGCATTGTCAGCAACCAGAAAACACTCCTGCACTGTTGAAGGGCTTCAGCCTCCAGCCTGCCTGCTTGGAGCTGAGCAAGTCCATCCTCCTGAACCTCCAATGCTGCTCTGCTGCCACTGTGACCACAGCTCTAGAGCACATGACTGGAAGCAGGAGAGACTACTTCAAAAATAAGAATTTGCTTCAATTTGCCTCTGGGATACAAGTCCCAGAGATGAAAAATTAACAGTTTGGCACCAGCAGTTGGGAACTGTCCAAGAGGCACCAAACCTGACAGCCTGCAGAGATCCCGTCCAGCAGCCCATGAACTGTGCCTATGGGCACTGGACACAGCAGAACACTGGCCTTGGTGGACACCAGAGTGACTGAGATGTTTTTGCATTATGATGATCTCTAACTGCATTTGGGGTGAGCCAGTAAGTGTGAACGTTTAAGGGCCCGTGGCCTTCCTAGCCAGAATGATTCAGCAACGTAACAAGTAGTGTAATGCACTGTAGGTATTAAAAAGACATTCGTGCTACTAGAGGAAACTATTCCAAATAAAATGGGAAGATATTCTTTGCACTCAATCAGGAGCACTTACATTCAGAAGGATCTTTGAGCCCATGCACTTCTCTAAGCTTCCTTCAAACCCCAGTTTGACAAAACTGATGATCTTTGTTCCCCTGAAAAATCATACACCTTGGTTTGTCCTTGGCCTTGTGAAGGTTACTTTGTGTGTGTGTACTTAGAAATTTTTTTACAAACAGTTTAGGTACAAGGGTTCTCAATGGCAGCTGGCAGACCCCAGCAAGCTTGCTGGTGGCCCACAGACATCTGTGCTGACACCACTTGCTTGCTTTTCCTGGTTTCTAGGTTCTCCATATAAGTGACTGCCGTGGTTCCCATAAGGATATTATGTAATCGCAGATGGGCTACTCTAGAACAAGTTTGAGAAACCCTGATGTACAAAATTCACAGAGAAGCTAATTAACACTGGGAATTCAGAAAAGAAGTTATGCTGTAAAAATATAAATCCAAGAAACATAACAATTACAGACATTTTCTGCCATGAACCATTTCTCTTAGTTTTAAATCAAACTTAGAATCACTAGCTAACATGTTAAACTCAAAACTGGGAGTGGAGACAGAAGAGTAACTTCTGTTTTTTGGAAAAAAATGTATACGAAAAGGTTAAAAATAAAATAAAAAAACCCTTAAAGTCTCCCTTCCTGATTTCTAAAGATACTGGTGTTCATAAAACACAGCTGCCCTGATAACATGCACCATATGTCAAGAAGGCTGCAGACAAATGCCCTCAAGGTGTACAGTTATTCAAAGGAGCAAAGTCCAGTGCAGAACTGGTCTGTTCAATGTAGTCTGATTATCCATGGCAAGATGGCCCAGGGGACAAGAGGAGAGGTGGGGTGGAGGAGAAACAAAAGAAACTTCAAGTCACTTTAGATCTCAGCTGCCTGAAGACTTTAGAACATCAGCCTCCCATTCGTCTGCCCACTTGAAAACATTAGAAAGTCTGTCAAGTCCACACACTATCTATGGAAAGGAGCACGTTCCTGGCAGAGGGCTGTCTCTCTCACGTGCTCAGCTTTCCTTTCAAACTTAATTTTATATATATTTATATTTTTATATATATATAAAAAAGCACTTGGTTTCCAGGGGCATTCATAATGAGGTCCACAGTGTTTAGAACTTAAAATTCTTTTTCTTTGTTTGGAACAGTGTTTTAAAGTTTTGTTTTAATTAAAAGATAGTCTTAAAGCATGTTGGACTTCAAAAACATGAGTTTGTTCATGTCTTCTGGACTGAGTAGCCGTCTCCTTTTGATTAAGAGAGCCTGCTCACACATATTTACACATTCGCTTCTGGCACCAACAGCAGGCACTGCTAAGAGCCAAAAGGCTAGCTTGGCTAGTTTTGTATGCTTTTGGGTAACACATGACCAGTACTGAAACAGGTCAGGGGTGGCCTGGAAGAGAGGTTCTTGCAAATAATCATAGACTTCATTTTTCCCGAACCAATCTTCTTCCTGAGCTGCTGTGGCTTCCCCTGCTGCCCGAGGCTTCTTGGTTGAAGGTTCAAATTCTGTTTCTTCTGCCCAGGACTCTTTCACCTCATTGATCAACTCACAGACCTTGCCAATGATCTCTTCATGCTGGTATGGTGGCACAGGCCGCAGCTTCTGCTGAGGGTCTAAGATCATGGCTACTTTGTGTGCCGAATGAACTTTGAAGTTCTCCTTCAGCGCCTCCAAGAAGAGGTGGCAGAGCTTGCTGACTACGCCAGCATCATTAGCTTTGGAAGTGAACAGTTTCTCCAGTTTGACATAGGTGGGCAGTACCAGCTGCAAGGTGGGCCGGCTCTCGTTGCTCAACTCAATCACCGCCTGTTTCACAGGAGCCAAAATGGCTGCCAGGTTGCTGAGCAGGTGTTTGTTCAGGTTTTGGATGAGGTTCATCTTCTTTGCCCTGCTGTAGAACTCACAGATCTGCTCATAGCGCTCATGGACAAGCAGGAGGGAGTCAGTGACCGAGTTCCAGCAGGGTGGGGGAGAGGTCTCTTCCAGGGAGCCAAAGGTCTCCTTCGAGAGGCCTGTGGATCCTGCCAGATCTTCACAGACATTCAGGAGCTCGATCACTTCGTGCATATTGCGAGCCTGTAGTGTTCGCTTGTTCAGCACACTCTGCACTACTGAGTTCAAGGCACAGGCTGAACAACGCAAGCACATGCCTGCCTTGGAGAATGCAGAGGAATTGACTTTGCAGTCTGTGACGTACACTGTCCTGATCTCTGACATCACAAACTCCGAGAGCACATTCTGTACCCAGTGGTGGATAAAATCACCGTTATCTCGAATGTCTACGCCCTTAATTCCCAGGACGTAACTCTTGATATGATTGCCTTCCACCTGATAAGCTGTTAGGATGTAGCAAGAATCGGGGCCGATGCTCTGCGAGTGGCAAGTGACACCAATGCCAAGGCATGCATTGCTGCCCAGGGCGCAGGTGACTTTCACCTTCACTTGGTTGTACATCCGAGGCAAATGCTTCAGAGCCAGTGTGTTGAAATTGCCAAGGATTTCGGTGACAGAGAAGGCACCATAGCGAGCGCCACTATCCACCAGGGTCTGTGCTAGCTTGATGAATTCCTTCCCGCTCACCACGCTCAGAGCCCCAAGGTCAGTGCACATCACCCTCAGGAGCCTCTCAGCAATGTTCTGCCGCTCCTTCTCTGGGATCGCGCTGTTCCCTACTGAACCGCTCGCGGGTGCTGCAGTGAAATACAAGGAGGGAAAGAAAGCACCACATGAGCATTGCTCCTCTGCAACAAGACAGAGGAAGAAGTCACAAAACAGTTCTTGGAGAGACCCAAAGAAGTGGAACATGCCCAGATGATGGAAGAGACATCTCCAACCCTGGATTTCCTCCCCCAAGGGTTTCTGGACAGAGGAACCTCCAGGGACAGGCCACGCTCTTGTTTAGAGCAGCAAGGAGCTTATCTGCATGTTTTCCCTGGTGTGGGGACTCAGACAGAGTACACACTACTTACTCACAGTCCACTGCCTTAATCAATGGCATCTCCGTGGTGTTCATCAAGGAACTGCCTATAGAAGTTATAATCGTGTGCCATTCACTATCCATGTCTATGGGCTGGTGGTCACAGCTTAGCCCAGCTGTAAAGCTGGACATCTTCCCATTTTTGTGATTTGAGCCTTTTCTTTGAGACAGTTATTTTAACTGGAGTTGCTTCAGTGAAGCATACACCTTCCTCTACCATTTCAAACAGTGCTGAAGCCCAAGTTTCCACTTCTTCCTTGGAACTCCAGCAATCTTGCTTTTTGTGGCTGATTTTGAGTAATGTGAACGTCAATTTTGGCCATATGAGAACACAAAACCACAATGTTTTTGTATCACCCTTCCCCCAGGCTGCTCAGCTCAAGTGCTTTGGAACTGATTTCCCACAGGGCTGTATTTTACTTTTTCCCGTGGTGAAGCACAAGCTCACAGGACGAGCCAGATACTAGCTGCTGCCAGCACAGAGAGTGACAAGTTATGCCTATGTCATACCATGAGGACTGGATTAGTTTTTTAACCCCAGGCTGGGAAGTTGGACCTTGGATCAGAAGTTAACTTCTTCCAGGAGTTCCTAAATGCACCTTCCTTACAAACCTTTCCAACCGCCTCCCCAGGGTTCCCAGTACTTTTTGCATACGAGAACTCCCTGTAAAGGGAACAACTGCTCTGCTCTGTAGGGTAGTACATGAATTACAGATGAAATCAAGTGCAGTTAGGCAAGGACAAGGGCCCTGTGCAATGCCCATCACTGCTGCACCCTCTCTGACAGTCAGTTGTTCAAAGTGGACAGATAAGCCTGAGATGGAAGAGCAAATGCTGCTACGTACTATTGTTGGCGTTATTTCTTTGGAGCTGTGGTTTCCACTTTTCTTCAACAACAGCTAGAGGTGATCTGGGTTGGCTAGAGGCAATATTGTTCTCGTTGTCAGCTGTGAGGCAAGAGACAGAGACATGTTAGAAGCACAAGATAATAATGCTTAAAGCACAAAGAAGGGGAAACAGTACCCATCTGCTTAGCATTTACTTATGATTCCCTTAACTGAGGTTGACACCAATCTACTACATTCTCTGTAGCTTTTAAGCAGTTTTTAGTGAGATGGCACAGTACCGTCAGAAACCTTGAAAACTACCTTTGGACTTGCAACCTATCACCTCCCAAAATGTGGCTGAAATGACAATGCTTTTTCTGTGCATCAGTGACATTGATGCCACTAGCACACCTTGAGAAATGTCTCCCAATCAACTTAAGCTGCACACCAGGAGGAACAGATGTTCCTTGTGCAGCCTGGCTTGTGTAATTTCCTTGCTTTTGAAATGAAAGGAGGTTTAACAAACATTTACCCTTCTTTTGCCTTACTGCCTCTTTCTGCACCGCAAGGTGGCTTCCCTTTTTTTTTTTACTGTTAAGTACTTTGTTTTTCAAGCTATGCTAAACTCTTTTGTATCTAAGGTTCTTACTACAATCTTCATATATGGTTTCCTCCCACTGTAGAGAGGGCCAATCTTCTCTTGAGCTGCTCACTGCTTCCTCAGACTGGAAACAAAAAGAAAAAACCCCAAGTTTCTGAGTGTGACCAAAGATCATTCCTTCCTATGGCTGCAAAGATACCAAGTGCCCTAGGGGCCTTTGTGTTCATGCTCCCATTTCTGTATATGTAACTGGGCTAAACACCTCAGCTGCCAATCTGATGGGATTTTTCAAGGAAATGCAGTCAAGATCAGTAAATTCTGTATTGTATCCATGTGCTTTCCTCTCCTTTGCCCCAAGAACTTCTCCCCACCCTCCAGAGGAAATTTTCTATTCTTAGTATGCTTCACCATGAAACTGTGCTCTGAAATAGGCTGTGAAGCGACAATACAGTGCACAATGAAGAGAGGTGGAAGAGGAAGGAGAAAGATGGAGAGACTGATGACCAGGCTGAACAGAAGGATGGAATTAAAAACAAAGATGACAAAACAGGCCCTTTACTCATCACAGCTGGACTCATCTCACCTAACTTTGGACATCTCTGTTAGACATCCCTTTCTTCAAAGTAGCCCCTTGGGGCTTGTTTTACACTCAGTGGTGCAAAACAGGCTTAAGAGTGCGACTCATTCACCCAGGCAGAACTAGATGCCTCTTGTAGTGTAAGATCCATCATGCTCTGAACTCACCTGGAGTCAATGACTTCTTCTCCACCAATTAAAAAGGGAGTCCAAGTTGACCAGCTCAGATGGCAGTATCTATAGCCTAGGCACACCAGCATGCAGTGAAATGAATCCTGCCCCCGTGCTCCAGACAGCAGAGCACGAATTAGAGGAATATCTTATTAAGGCACACACAAGTGCTTTGCTCTGCAGCCTAGGTTGATGTGGTGCTGGGCAGAGCAGTGGGCTGCCCGTTAGAACAAACAGGAGAGGGCAAAGTTGCTCTCCTTCATGTGTGGCAATGACCTGGGAGAGAAGGGAGACCAGCAAGGATCTAGAGACAAGCAATTATGTGATGAAGCTCCACTGCTCTCTTCCTTACAAGCAAGTCCTCTCAAATTTGAGCAGCTCTGCACATTAACTGCTGGGGCATTCACAAACCTTGCTGATGAACAGCCACAGACTGCACAGTTATTAGGTCTGGGCACTGCACTGGCCACAGACCGGATCGGTACCTAAGAGTAATCCAGGGTATGACAGAACCAGGTAGACTCTGGGACTGCCCTGAGGACTGTACATGCCCACGGAATTCACTGGTCTTGGTTGGCACCTGGGGAGCACTGCCATGCTCAGGACTGCAGCCAGAGGTCAGTCTTTGCAGATGTGGAAGAGACGTGTAGAGCAGGAGGTGCTCCAGCAAATGCCAGTGATCAGATACGACACATCACTTTTCCCCCAGCATTTGCCTAGACTAATTGCTCTTGAGCTAATGCCACCAGTGTCCTCAACCCCAAACATCTGTGAGTAGGCAAAGGAAAACGCTGGATGTTGCCTACTAACTTTATTCATAGTTCAAGCATTCCTTGTCTTGGTGAGGGGTGGGTGGGGGGAGAAACTCTCTGTATTTCCTCCCCACAATTCTTTCTCTATTTCATAATAATAGGGGATTTATTATGTACAAATATCCACTAGCATTCAATATGGCATTAATGAGATTTGTGCATTTCAGCCTCATCTTCCTTATCAGGCAGTCTGTGAACTACACAGATCATGGTTCTTTAATTTCTCTTCATGCCTCCAATCCTTTAATCCAGGTTCAGCCTAGATGTCCTTTTATTTTTTTAGCTCTAGACTGTAGGAAGGGAATTATATGGTAGCACTCGACCTGAACAAAGTACTCTAAATGGAGTCAAAGCTGTATATTGTACAGTGTAATTACAGAACAAATTCCTTTGCCTGGTGTTCTGCTGTTCTATTTCTGCCTTTCAGCCTCCAATTTACATTCTAATTGCTTCTTCTCATTGTGTAGCTGCTTTATGGAGCTATAATCTCTCCTTATTACCTTCTAGCCTCCGGGCTCAGCCCTCTGAATGACTCAAGAGTCAGTATGTCCCTGCTTTCGCTCCTCGAGGCCATCCCCTGTCTTCAGTGACTTGTGAGAGGGCTCAGTGGATGCATCACATGTAGTTGGAAGAGATTAGCCCTTTGCATCAGATACAATAAGCCAAACTGGACTCCTGAACACATTAACTGAAGGAGGATTTGACCCATATGGGCTTCTTGCATCTCTGCATCCCCATAATGTAACATTGCTTGAGCCAGACATATTGGACTGGTATAAACTGCTACTATGCCAGTGTCCCCAGTATGTGGATCCTATGTCACCAGTTCTGCTGACTACTGCAAGGTCTCTGCACCCCCACACTTCAGAGATGTTGTGCCAATGCTGTTCTTGGATATGGAAATCCCCAAGTTCTGACAGGCTAAAAGGCAACAAACTGTGACCTGAGTAACTGCAAGCCCTGTGTAATCTCCACTGTTTCTCTGCTTAAGTACAACATCCAGAACCGGACACCCACCAAAGCTGTCTGTAGCTTTCACACCTCTTCACTTTGTTTTACCCTCACCCCACAGTAGCAAATACTGTGCCGCTTGCCTCCAGTTGCACAGATCTGCAGGAAAGGTTGCTGTTCCCTGCAGAGGAAGAACCATGAGCACAAGACTGGCAAACACCATCCAGAGAGATGACACAGCAGGGGACAGCTGCTTTCACAAGGGGCAGCCTCGGTGATGCCTGGAGAAAGCACTTAAAGAAGACAGACAAGCTTGCTGTCACTGTACCAGTGAGACACTCAGGGGAGAGGGGGAAGCAGCCAAGCAGAAGAAGGTGACTTACAAACAGAGCAGGGAGACATTAGAAAATACAGAGTTTAACAGGAGTAATCCTGAGATTTACCCATTAATATATCTCTGCTGACATTACATGAGTCAGATCACAGATACCTGCTCCCTCCAGCCCTGTTTTGTGTCCAAAGTAACGCAGGTGAACAAGCCCAGAGGCCACGGGTCATTTGTAAAGAAGAGAGAAAAGGAAGAAGGTGCAGACAGCTCTAGCTTAAAATTTTCAACAGCTCATACCTTGCCAGTGAATTGCCATTCTCCCCTTTGACACCTTAGCCTTGGTCCCTCCTTTGCAGCTCCTCTACTCAGTGTCATCAAGAGCTACAACTCAAAATGCTGCATTTCAGTACCAGAGACCAGAACAAGGAACAGGATGGTCAGGACGCAGCTTGGAGGCAAGCAGAATTGCCATCGACAAACAGCAAGAACAGACCCCATCACCATGGAGTGACAGCTGCTCCTACCCTGAGTGGAGCTTCACCACTCCCTGGCGTAACATGAAGTCCAATCACCCCACATTAACCAGCTTATGGTCTAACAGAAAATAACATCCACAAAACTCATACAAAACTTTAACAAATCACCCTAACTGTCTATTAATAACATTACAAAGATGATAAATAAAGTAGCTGCTGAACAACACACAAAGCCTGCACTGAGATTCACCAGTGAGAACTGAACTGCAATGGAGGAACTGCGCAGATGAAGAACTCAAGGAACACTCATTAAAATTAGGACTAAAACACAGAACAAGACAAGAACTTTGATTAGAATTACTGTTACAGAACGGAAAATATGCTTTTCCTCAAGCCACTTGTCCTTCCATGCCACTCTATCTGGGGCTTACCTGTAAAGTAAGGGCAAACACAAGCACTGAACATGTACCTCAACAGAGCAGCTGTCTGTCAGAGAACACAGGTCTGTCAAAGGTGACTTAATTTGTAAACCTGTGTGAATTCACTTGAATTTTCATTCAAGAGGAAAAAAAGAAAAAAATTCTGCCAATATAAAAAAAGTCCTGTTTCTACATATTTGAATATTCTGAATGCTGTCTTTGAAACAGCTTTGGCTTTGAAATTTTAAAATCCTTTTTTATGTATTGAGATAGAAAACGAAAAAAATGGCTTAGAAACAAAGTAGTGAACTGCTCAGAATTTTCTTTTGAAGAGCACTGAGAAGGAAATGAACACAACTGCTGAAATAGCAAATTCTTCTTCTGATAACACATTTCAGTCCTTTGCAGAAGTCCAGGAGACACAAGCACAGAAAAAGACTTGTGTGGGCAAAGGCTCTGCTGCCCTGCAAGCATTTTTGCTTTGTTTGCCTCAGTGAGAACTACCCTTTTTGCAGGAGGGATTTCATCCGCTGTATGAGTAACCCATTAATGCTTACGCAATGAGCATTCCCTAGATACCTTTGGATAAAGGGAATGAGTAGTTTGATGTGCTCTGTGCTAGCACGGCATGTTTCCTCTCTTCCTAGGGAAAGGAGTAATATTTATGATATACTGTGAGCCTTGCATTGTTGCAGCCACTGCTACGTGCTCCAGCCTCTGAGTATCTTTTTTGCTGCAGGTGAAATTACTGGGGCTTTGGAAACCGTGAGCACAGAAAGCTCTATTGACACACAACGGGGTCAACATCAGGCATCAGCGCAGAATTTAGTTCTCCGCTTTAAGCGAGTCAAAGTGCCCAGCTTACCTGCATGGGACTGCATGTGCTCCAGGAGATTGTTATAAAACTGGAACTGGATTCCACAAGCTCCACAGGTGTAAGGCTCTGTTTGGGAGAAATCAGTTCAGAAGAATTATACAGAGTATGCAGGGAAGCAGCACACGTGCATACTTCAGTTTGTACAGTAGTGGGGCAGCGCCTTAGGGCCTGGTCCTTGTCACATCAGCCCACGCGTGCTCGTCACAGCAGCTCCTTAGAACCAAAGCTGCAGGGCTCGGGCTGTGAGTCGGGAAAGCACTAGGGCACGTCACTCCTTCCTGTGCTGGGGTCAGGCATTTTTCCATGTGCTTCACTTTACTGCCACGAGAAGGCCTGGGACAGCAGAGGGATAGCTTATGCACTAAAGTGAAGCACCTGCTGATGTGTGTTTGGGGGGGATCTCAGTGAAGCTGCACAAAGATTTGAGAGGCTACATACTGACTGGGGTTTACTAGTTCATGCCTGCTGCAGGCTGTTTTAAGCACATCCTTGTTCTTTTTAAGCCCGAAAGCAAAGCATGGTGAGTTAATTTTACATCCAGTTCTGTCAAATTCCAGTCTCTGCTGCCTTTCCTGAGTAAGACAAGGAGCACTGGGTTGTGAAAAATCCTGTTGCTCAGAAGTTGGGGCATGGAGAAGTGCCTTGGGGGAACTCAGTTTGGTTTTTTGTGGCTGTCAACAAGTGCAGTGAGACTGGGGAACAGAGAGTGCCACTGGGCTCAGCAGCAGCAAGTCACTGGGGTAAGCAGAGGTGGAGGGGAAGAAGCACAGAAATCAGAGCTGTGCCAGAAGGCTGAGAGCAGAGCAGGAGAGCCATGTTGCCAGAGTAATATGGATGAGCTGGAGTCAGGAAAGAGCTGGGTGCAGAGCTCCCTCATGAGCTGAAAGATACATTCAGTTCTGTTCTAACAAGTGTGTTGAAAGTGCATTTTTTCCACCTAATTAACCTAATAGCAAATGTTTGCAGTTCCTCATTTAAACAGTATTAGTTGGGTGCATTAGCTGACAGATGTAATATCAAACTACAGCGGCTGAAACATGTTAACATTGCAGTTCTGCTTTTATACCTCCAGATATACCAGCACACTGCCACCATTTATGCTGTGGCATTTTTTTCATAACAGCAGAATGGACAAATGCAAGCATTTGGTATATAAACAACTTTGCATATAAATGCCTGGCACACACAGAGAGCAAGGTCTATTGCTACAATATACCAGAAATCTCTGTGTTTGAAGGGAAAAACAAATTCTGCATCAGTGAAACTTAAGAATCTATTGAACATAAGCAAAAAGCACCAGCATCCAGGATGGAAGAACCAAAATACAGGAAAGCACAAGCCTGACTTGGCTATAATCTGTAAGATTTCTATCTCAGGTAACAAACCCCAGAATTCATCAGATGGCTACAGGAAGCTGTGAGGAAAAAACATAAAAGAGACCATGAGCAGTTCATATAAGCTATTCTTACATGCCATAAGGTTAAACACCCTGCTGAGCCTTTGATACAAAACCTACAGCCCTCTGAAATAATGGAGCCAGCTCCATCTGGAGGAGTTGTGCTCGATGCATTATTTAACTTACTGTATTGTCTTGTGATGCTACTCCTTTTTTTTTGCTGTAGTGAGGAAGTTTGGAAATACTGTACTTAAATAACTGCTTGTGAAAAAAAGGGAAGACTTTGGCAGCTGAGTGGCACACAGGAATTTCAGGACTGGGGGAATTAATATGGACTGGCTGTTTCTGTTGAAATCATCAGTAGTGAAATAGTCAGTTGTGGTAAAACGCCACAAAAGGTATAATGTAATCTAATTCTTTAGGCTCCTTTTGTAATTGTCAGAGAGCAGAAGACCCCACACGGATGCAAATGATCCCTCTTAGATATGTATTTCAGTGTCAGATGACTCGTGTTACAGATGCACCTATTTGCCTCTGCTGCTCATGGAGCCTAGCCTGCTCAGATAGAAATGTCTCAAACTAAGTGGGTTGACTCCCCCTTCAAGTGTCAAAATAAACATTTGATTAATCTAATGAAAGAAATCACACTTCAAAGAGCCTGCTGAATGTTGCTGACAGGTTCCTGGCAGGGTCAGAAGAGCTCTGGTGCTGCAGGCAGGGCAGCTTACAAAGCTACTATCCCTGTTCTTTGCCCCATTAATTTGCTGGAGCCCCCTCCCCTACAATAGAGTTGGGAGAACGTGCTGTACATGTGAGGTGCTTCAGAAAGTCTGAAATTTAGAGATGTCACACTGTGGTTCCCTGGGACACCTTCAGGTCTCTGTGTGCCATTTAAACATAAGCAGGCACATGCATTCCCTTCTGCCATCTCTGCCTGTAGTAACCTTGGCCTGTAGAAAGCAGTGGTGGAACAATCCATCCTTCACTGCCACAGTCCAAGGACTGTTCTCTGCTCCCGGACGAGTACATAAACTCCACAATTCCCCTAGCAGCAGGTTTCCAAGTAGCCACCAGAACAACTCTTCCCCTAAGCTGTTATAGGGCGCCTCACTGGGAAGCAAATCACTCATATACATCCAGCACTCTCCAAGCAGCACATTTCTCACATTAATTTTTCTCTCCTGTTTCACTACATCCTCACATTTCCTTCTCAGCTTATTTTGTCTCACTGAAGCTGCTTTACGTTCCACCTGTCATATTCTCAGCTATTTTATCACCTCAAAGCCATGTTGGTCTTTCTTCTAGCTCTCTCCTTGCCTGCCTTCCCTTCACTCCTGACCAGTCTTTTCTGGGTCCTCCCCATCTGCACCCATCATGCAGTGACCATCAAGGTCTCCACGGTTCTTCATCTCAAGCTCCTCCCTCTGCCACTACAACATACTGTGTACTCAGTGACTCTGAAAGGTCTTTCATTTGTGATTCTTCTCAGAAGAATCCTGTTGATTTTCATCCCATTTCCAAAAGCCTCCCCTTCTGTTCTACTACAGAAATGTCCGCCTCTGGAAACAAAACCACTGTCTACTTTCAAAACTAGTTTCGCATTCTGAAAATATAAAAACATTTTCCTAAATACTTTTGAGACAAAGAGTCATAGAAGTCTAATTTGCCACAAATAAAAATGAGTTAAGTTAAAACTAGGAATAAAACTTAAATTCATCCAACAATTCAAAAGTCTCTCCCGAGGAGGAGGGAAGGGATGCTTGGGAAGATGTGCAGAATCCCTGTGGGCTTTCTCAACCCTAATCTTCTGAGATGTCAGGTGCTAAGCCCCTTATGCTCCACAGCGCAGAGAGCTGGGAACAGTCAGATCAGCTGGAAGGAGGGTGGGATGTGTCAGCGCTAGAAGAGGGAGAGAGATCTGGAAGGTGGAGAGAAGAAAGAGGCAATCTGTATCTGAAACCAGGCAAAAGCCACCACTGGAAAAGAACTGCTCATCTGGGCTGGTACATGGTGCGAGTGAATCCCCTCTCCCTTTGATTTCTGCTTGCAACTTAAAGGTAGAGTTAAGGGGAAAAGTTGTCAGAACTGCTCTGAACACCCGTGAGCCACACTTGTGCCCCCTTCTCCTTCCTCAGAGCACAGCCCCTCCACACCACTGCAGGACCTCTGCTTTTCCTTTCCCAGGGGCAATTTCAGCTCTCCTCTTCCTTGCTCAGACTGAGGTTTACAGCATCCAGAAGGGATCTGTTCTCCATCAGATCATCTGAACTCAGCAAAGACCCACAGGTCCTCCCATGACTGCTCCAATCAGCGAAGCTCTCCTTTCCCTCTCAGCTTTGCTGGTGGCAGTACAAGGAAAGCCGGGACCCATTTGTGCTGCCCACCCCCCAGAACACCTGTGCTCCCCAACAGCTCCAATTGTTTTGGGTGGCCAAGATAAGCCGAGCAAAGCAGGAAGAGCAGCTGTGCAGTCAGATCAGAAATGGCTCAGAGACTTCCAACACAGACAGCCTGTCTCACGCTGCTGGAAACCTTCTCCTTCACCTCCTCAAACCCTTAATTGCTTCTCAGAAACCAATTTCTCCTGCTGCTCCACATCTGAGGGAGCTGGGAGTTGTGGCAGGAGCAACAGTATCCCCTTTCGATGAGAAAAAAACCAGCCATTACCCCATATGCTCAAACAGGCTCCTGGCTCTTACTTAGGGCCGTGGGCCTCTTAGCAATGCCACGTGCTGTGAACTTTGTAGATCTGTTCCCTTGGCGTGGGCTGGGGAGGAGCGTGCTCTCCTTTCTGCAAGCTTCCTTAATTTGCATTCCCCTGGGCAGATGCTAAACACATGCTGGTGCCAGCTGGTCTGTTGCTGCGTACTTGGCTTGCTCAGGCTGCAGGCTGGGACTCCAGTTCACATCTGTAGCCACAGCTCCCAGAGCCCTGAGCCCTCCTGGGTTGGTGCAGGATGTGGGCTACATCATCCCAAGACCCCACCAATTCAGTGGGCACGCAGGGCTGCCACACTCACACAAACTTCATTCACACTTGTATCTCAAGGGAGTGGCGGATAAATTTACCAGTCTGCATTAGAAGCCTTCCCTTCCTCTTCTTGTTTCCACAACTCACTCCCAGTAACCACTGCCCAACCTAGAGCAGCTGGGTGATGGGAAGGGAGGGTGTGAAAACAGCCCAAAACTCACCTTACACAGCCATGAAAGGAGGAAGGAGATAGGCAGAGAGCTCACCAAGGCTGGCTTTAGACCACTCCCCCTTTACAGGCTGAAATCCCAAGCTTTGGTTGCTCTTGCTTTGTTGGCCAGGCTGTGAACTAGGCACAAGGTCCTGCAGTTTGCATGTAGCAGACTGGCCTCTCTACTTACTGCCACTAGTGCATCCTACAAAAACTTCACATTAACAAATAAGCCATTAAAATCCTGCAACACTCAACTCTAAACCCGTAGCCCGGCATTCTCACACTTCACTAAACATCTCAGAAGATGAAATGCCAGGATGCTATTGTTCCTCCACCTCCAGAAAGCAAGCTTTTCACATAGCCAAGACCAGAGCTGTGAAGCTGGGCCAGCAGTCAGATAAGCTGCATTTTCTGCAGGTCTTGGGACACATCTCAAGCTCTCACATGGGTTGATATTCAGCAACAGCTACAATGCACTTCCTGCAGTAGCAGAAAAAGCTGGAGAGCCTGTGCAGCAACAGGGAAATGGCTCTGCCTGACCCCGATACATGCTGCTGCACAGGCAGCCTTGCAAAGCAAGGCTCTGGGCATCTCCTGTCCTCCATGTTCTACCACATGGCTAAGCTGCACGCAAGAGGCTTTGTTGCAGAAGGGGTGGAAACAGGCTCTAAGTCTTCACAAAAGGATAAGAAATCATGAAGTGGACCCTCAGAGAGTTCAGGCTGCCACATCAGCCCCATTGTCTCCCTGGCTCTGAGTTGTTTCTGTACATTCAGAAGCCTCATGCAATCCCATAGCCTAAATTTGGCAGCAGAAAGTCTGTGCATGAAACAGCAAATGTTGCATGGGCCAGACCTGTCCACACAGCATGGGAGAAGGGGAGAGGGTACAACATTGAGTATATGACAGACAGACTGGCTACACGGCACCCATGCTGCTCCCCTGACTCTCACTCCCAAGTTTTCCCAGAATGTAGAGGCGTTGTGTAGTGGAGAGCACAAGAAAATCCACTGCAAGCAAGCAATGCTGTTGGAACTGCAAACACCCATCCCAGGGCACTTCTAACAGCCTCTTGCAAGCTGTCTGAAACTCATGCACTGCAGCATTCTGAAGCAATGGCATTTCATTCTCCTATCAAGCACCAAAGACTCTTGCTCCCCCAAAAGAAGAGACATTTGTCTGTGGTGCACTGGGTGTTGGCTGCTGAGCACAAAGCACTCCTTCTCCCCAGTAGCATCCTTCCCCAGAAGAACCGACCTCCTTTGCGAGCCAGGTCTCCCCCCACTCTGAACAAGACATGCTGTCATGTCACCCTTACTGGTTGCCCAGGTACTCTCTGAAAACACCTTTACAGAAACTGAAAGCACCAGCAGCTGCTGAAGCCTCTTCAGTCTCTGGAGCCACACAGAACTAACACTCACAGTTGGTTGTACAATTTAAAACATCTTTCCCAGGGCTATTATTAGACACTTTTATTAGTGCTTTATATATACCTAGTGAACAAGGCTCCAGAGTAAGGCAGCAGGCTGTATAAGCCAAGACAGAGAAAAACCATCATTTGCGCTTAGGTTAAATAAATCACTCTAATTCCCATGTTAACTCTCATTGCTACATCTAAGCCAGAGAAAATAGCAGAGCCTGGTTTGAGACCAGGAGTGAACATGAGTTGAGAGCTTTTAACAGAAAGTTTAAACAGAAAATGCCCTGAGCTTCTTGTGCACAAGTGAAACTCAGCAGCCAGCTCAACAACTGATGGCAGCGCAGGGAGCAGACCCCCAGGCAGCTCTCTCCTCAGCAGAAAACACCCACATTTCAACACTTCTGTCCACATTTTGATGAAGAACAAATGCAGAAGAACTGTAAGGGAAACATCTCAGCATTAGCACCCAGTGTTTCCATTGGCTTTAGCTTTAATAACACTGTAACTGCATCTTCCCATACCTTTGACACAAACCAATGAAACAATACATGAGAATCTGCAGCAGTCTCCTAGAAAAATGCCATCACACACCAAAATAAGTGGAAGTTTCTTGAAAACAGAACTTCTGTCACTTCCAGCCATCAGACAATAAAAGAGGTGCTACATAAAAAGGTGGTATGAAGCATGCTTTAAAAAGGGGAGTCCCAAATGCATCACGGCTGTTAAATTTGTTGGCACTAATTTAATTTCTCTTCCAACATGAACTCTCATGTTCTGAATGAAGTTCTCACTTCTCTCTCAGATTTCTAAGTGGAGAAAGAACAAGAGTCCTCTGCCACTGTGGCCATGCTCAGGGTGCAGCACTCAGGGCTGTCCTACACCAAGGGACAGCAGTGCTGGATTACAAGGTTGGCGCACACAGCATCACCCCTAAAATCCAGACGCAAGCCAAGCAGTAAACAAACACACTGTAAGGCAAAGGAAGAAGTTCTGCCTGTTGAAAGCATCAAGGACACGGGGCAGAATCTCAAGCAGAGACCACCTGCATCCACCCATCCCAAACCTGCTCTCCTTATCCTCCTGCCTGCTCACCACCATGCCCTGGGCTCCCATTTCTCACCTGTGCTCTCAGGCCAAAGGGAATTATCTCTGCAAAGGTGTTTAGTGAGCTGAGCCACGAAGACAAGTTTTCCTGTGCGTAAATGTTAACTTAAACATGGGTTAATTTTCCGTCTTCAAACCTTCATATCTGAGAACATGTATTATTGATGTATTTCACAAAACTTAACTCCCAGAAGGCTGTGAGTCTAAATGGTCTAGCAGCCACATACTGCACAGAAACACCCTGAAGGATTTCTGTTGCATTTAAATCTGAAACCAGAGCCACAGAAGTGAGGCATTTTGTTCTTTGACACCTGGACTCATAATAAAAAAAAACATTTATTAATGAAAAATGCTAAGAGGGCCAGCCAGCATGGCTGAAGGGTGGAAGTCCCCGCCTTTGCGCACCACAGACATCCATCACACTTACTTTGTAAAAGCGGGAAAGGATTTGATATCAGGGGACTTGCGGTTTCTGCAAAAAAGAAAGAGATTTAAATATTGAGACTGGCAGAGACCTCGCTGCATGCTACACAGCTCTGCCTATCTGCTCACTGATCCTTATCCTTACTCTGCACTTCCAGATTTAACTGTGGCAGGATAGGGGTCTCCATTTACCGCAAATTACGACATGTCCAGCTGTGAATTTTCTCTCTGTGTCTTGCTAAGTTTCTCATGGCTAGGAATCTGCATCCTTCCTTCCCATTTTGAAATGTCCAGAGGTCAAGTGGAGAGGGCCAGCAGAAGAAAAACCAGGGGGAAAGAAACCCTTTACAAATGCTTTTTTTGGGGCCCCAGATGCAAATTCTCAGATTTACCATGCAGCTTCTTCAAACTGAAGCTGGGAAAGAAAAACAAGGTGTTTTAGCCTCACTGGATGGTATGCCAAAGGAAAGAGTTCCTAAGCAGGGTGCGTTACTTCAGGCTGAGAATACACATCTTCTGTCGAGCACACCTCACAGACTGCCTCTCTTTAAGGTGTGACTGAAAGGAATGGAAACCCTGGATGCTCAATGAACCCTTGGTCAACCAGAGGCCATCTGCATCCACCGCGCAGTGCACTGGAGCAGAAGCAGTGATTCTCAGCACCTCAGACCCTGTGCAGTTTCCTACAGTTTCCAGGCGAGGTCCTTTAGTGTCAAACCCCTGCAGAGGGGAAGAAACCATTAGTGTTAAATATTCAGTCATCAATTCAGTGCATTTACAGAATGGTCCCAGGTCCAAAGTTATGAATTGAAACATCAGTGAATGAGGCTCTCAGGGCTGACAGCCTTGGACTGGTTTGCTTGGAAGGAAAACTTAACTCATTAACCGCATAGGTCAAGCACAGTGAGCCTTTGTGCTAAATATTTCAACATGATGAGGATCTGAGCTGTTGAAGAGGGCTTCAGCTGGCAGGGCCACCCAGTAAGGAATGAAGATGAAGGCATGGATGATGCTTGGCAAGGACATGAATAGACAGTGCTATGGAAAGGGTATGCATGGAAGGCACCAGCTGGATACAGAACACTGCTGATTGCTTAACACATTTCTTCTACCCAACATTGCACTAAGAGTGTTATTTGCAGCTGATGAAGTCTGTATTTGGAGGAAGATCTCCACTGAAACAGGTTCCTAATCTGGTCCTGCTGAGCAGCTGAACAGGGCAGGCTCCTCTAGGTACCATTCTTTCACTGTTCTCTCTGCCTCTGCTTTGGGAATTGTTGTACTTATTCAGTGAACACGGATGCTCACTGGACCATCCCATGGCTTCAGGCTTTAAAGGGCTCTTTCAGCACCCCAGATGCAAGTAAGCTTTTGAGAGCCAAAACCCAACATTTTACCGTCCCCCCAGAAGTGAACCTGATCTGGAAGAGGCACACAGTGCACAGCAGTGGCATACACCACTTAATACACTGCAGTGAATTCTCAACATACTCTCTGGCTGCCTTCCAGCCAGAAGTGCTAACGTAGTCTCCTTGTTATGCTTGCCTTTCTATACATATGAAAAACATTGTCAGTCTGCAACAGGAGTTCAGGCCACTTGCTAAACATTGCTACTATGGTATTTTAAGCAAAGACAGACAGTTGGGATTTTTCTGGTCTTTACATTACGGGCCATTTTGTTATCCATGCACTGTAATGTGCCTCAGCACAGTCAGTTCCTCTAAAGGCACCTACTCAGAGAATAGTCACGGTTTAAATGATTAATGATAATTTGGCTTGCTCTGGGGATTTGCTAATCTTTCACTCCATAGATACTGCAGGCAAAACTGAAACAGTTCACGTTTTTCTGCCCATACATTGGTCTGTCAGTGACTCTTTTTGCCATGTCCTGTCCAGCCCCAGCCCAGCACAATATCTGTGCTTGAAGACTGCAATCCACAGCTTGTATCACTGGCTGTTTGTTTCCAATTTTGCTGACTGCTCACACTCTTGCCTCAATGTCTCTCATATGTATTGTCTCAATGTCCTTCCTGGTGTCTCAGGGCTTTTCAGCAATTGGCAGGATATCACCCACAGAGACTTGCTGCTGAGTGGTTATTTTAACCCAGGTATTTTTTTTCCTGTCTACAAGTTGCCTGTTCAACATAACAAGCCTGGAACAACTTAAATGAATGTGGCACCAGAAATGAACATTCATTCCCAGAAACCTCAATTCCATGCAAATGCCCAGTGGACACAGTAACTCTTATTTATGCGACAGAGCAAAGCAACGCTTTCTTCAGCTGAAGCCTCTCCCTGTGTCACTCTTACTCTGATGGTGAGAACAGTGGTCAGATGGTAATCCTTCATCTGGGCACATCATTTTTAGGCTGCTTTGAAAAATGCAGTTCTATGCATGTGCAAATGTGTTGCCCCATCATCAGCATTACCTGTGCTCTGCACACCTTAGTTACAACAGTGTGGGAGCTCACATAACAACAACTTTCCTCCCTTTTCCTCACTCCTCAAAACTTGGTCATAAGCAGGCTTGGACCTCCCAACTTGATGGAAAGGCAGCAGTAGCAGGCTTGTACCATTTGCAAACCAACCAAAGGTAAGAAAGATTTACCAAGAGATGAACCATGTGAATGGGATTTGTATTTTGTGCTTCGGTCCAGCTGACATAACCTGTAAGACAGTTGGGTGCATCTCAGGAGGCAGAGGTGTAAGGGGCTGCCTGTGCTATCAGACTGTAATCAATAATCAAGAATTATTATGCCCCAAGCATTAAAGCTGTACTCACCCACCAAAAATCCTAGCCTAAAAGTCATGTCTTCCCACAACAAATCCAACCAGATGGGCTATATGGTCATTGGACTACAGAGAAAGAGTAGAAGAGGATGTATGGCCAACAACAGAAAAGAAGGAAGATCCCAGTGTTTATAACACATGTAGCTGACTCCTCCCGTACGTGCACCATGACCACCTGCACTTTCAGTGCAAAAAAGCTTTTTTGGATAGAAGTTTGGCAGTAGCCACTGCTGAGTGTCTTAGTCTGGCCTTCCATTCAGGTGCACTAGGGGACCTAGCATTATAAGGGCAAGAGTAGGAACGGAACTACTGTTCCTGCAACACAAGTTTTATGGGGGACTCAAGCAGACATCGTATCTGCTCCCATCACTACCAAACAAAGCTTCAGAAGAGATATAAATCACGAGTTTAACACTGATTTGCACTCTGCCTTTCTGCTGCTTTCCCTGAAACTAAAGGTTAGTTCCGCTCCGTTGCTAAGCCAGGAAGACATACTACATATTTCTGTTTAAGAGACCCTGTTTAACACACAGTAAAAATACTGGTTTTACATGGCAAGTGGTGAATGAGACATTTCTAATTATCTTTCTGCTTGAAATAGTTCCATGCTACAACTGGATGGGAATTAGGAACCATAATACTTTGCAGGATGCTGCTTATGTACATATTCACTAGCTAAATATAACTACCTTAAGTGTGCTGCATACATAGGAAAATAAAGTGCAGTACTGAAAAATTTTTTGCACTTAGAACTGATTCACTAAAAAGAAATATAGCATATAAGATCAGCAAATGACAGACTAACAAGTCTGTCATTTCTGAAAATCCCACTAAGCACATGTTTAAAGTTTGGTCCTATGTCCTTTAAATTTTGACAACCAGCACTTCTCAGGCTTTTCCAAAAATTTTTACTTCTAAATCAAAAGGAGGAAATTAATTTTTTTTTGGTCTTGATCTCACCTTAGCTTGGCATGAACTGATTCAAAAAAGAAGATATTTCCCTTGTCCCTTTACCCAGTCTGAAATAAACACTGCTGGAAAGAAAAGCTTCCCTGTGTAAATATGAATAAAAAGCAGTGATATTTTAAAAATTGTAAATGCTAAAATTTGTTCCACTGGAACTTATGACAGTAATAGTTACCTAATGCAGCAGATGAAATTGAGACATACTTATACAGCTTAAATCAACCTTGAAAGTTAAAAATATTTCCCAATTCCCTACATAATTTTAAATGTTGTCTCTTTCAAATTCATAATGTCTAGCAAGTTTAGACATCAACAAGTACTGTCATTTTCAACTAGTTTTTTCCTTCCGATGGCTGTATTTTAAGGTATCTAAACTAAAGAACTTTTTTTTTTGCTTTGGTTTTTTTTTTCTTCTTGAAGTCTCACGATTTCCTTCATCCTTCTTAACCTACAGGTGGTGTAACCCCAAATTCTTCATTTTACTAAGGAGTCATCCATGGTGTCCAAAACAACAGATCAAGGCTGGATTATGCTTTAAACACTAAGTTAGAGATGGCTGTTGCCCCTGAGGCTTTCTGAAGTCAGACAAAAAGTGAGACAACGGAGAAATCCAAAAGCTTGGGAAGTAATGTGTGGTTACACACTACATCAGTGCAGGACCAAGTCTGCAGACTCCCAGTCAAATGCTGCTCTACCCACTCTAGCTGCGGATGGTGGAAGAGGAAGGCAGCAAGCCTTCACTATTGAACACAATACACGTATTTGCCCCTTTCTGGGGCTTTTTCCTTCCCATGCTCAGGCTGATAATCACTAGGTTTTGCAAGAAGAGTATTTCACAAGCTGGCCTTCAAATATTGGTTGGCATCTTGAGAATTTAGTACAGAAAACCCCTGCACATGTCAAGACTCAGCAAAACGACCACCACCAAGGAATGTTTTCTTGAAAGCAGCTTTACAGCATCTTAAGATGATTAACAGCTTACGCATCGCAATGAGCCAATTCTGTCTTTTGGGATCAGGTCCTGTCATTGTGTTATGGACTTTGCTTAGTTCAGCAGTGAATAATCACAAGCTTCACATGACTTGGGACCTCAGTGTTGGCTGCCTGTGCTCCACAGGCATCACAAGGAAGCAATCTGCACATTTTACCAGATACTATTTTTAAAGCACTGTGAAACTTCCAGGTTTCATCAAAAAGCAAGTTTAACGGGCTGTGGAGACTCTTTGCCATTAATACAAAGGACATCCTCCCAATCATGAGGTGGACTGCAACTAAACAGTCCTCCTCCATCCACTCTGTGGCTCCATCATGCCCTGCTGGGAGACGGACCTTCTGCTAGTAGATGGGACTCAAACACAACCACAAAGTAGCATTTGCCATGCAGAACAGGAACTGTTTTATGGGCAGTAAGATGCCAGGTTACTCAGATAAGGATACCAGGTACCTGCATTCACTATGACAAGGATTGGGGCTGTGCATAGGGAAGAGACATCTGAAATCCAACATTTTCCATTCTAGTTGTCTTATTTCCACTTAGGACTTCCTACAGCATTCCACTGAAGTGTATTTTAGGTGGTTTTAGTTGCTGACCTTCCTGCTCTGCTTGTCCTCCCCCTCACTCCAGACATTAAGTAGTCTGTGGCACTGCAAGTCAGGATGGTGGCACAGTGAAAAAGCATAACATACCCTGCTGGGTGACCTAAAAAATCCTGCTGCTTTGTTTGATATCCCTATAACTGAGCCTGTAACACAAGCCTCACACCCAAAAAGAGCAAGTGGTACCGGGAATCAAGCATTTAACAAGGCCAAGCCACAGAGTCCTCAGGCTGCTCAGCTGGGACCTACATTTACCTTCCAAACCTGGGGACTATTCTTTACAGCAGCAGGAGTTTGGTGATAAGCAGCAGATGGGAGTGGGGAGGATGGAAGTGTCTGTCCTCCTGTCATTCTCAACCACGTTATCACCAGCTGCTTCCCTGCCTGTGCGAAATCTGCTGGCTGGAGCACAAGAGAGGACAAGCCAACAATGCCAGAATTACTCCCAAGAGTTCACATCACACATGTGAACACTGAGCCTCACAGAGTTTGTCCCACCTACTGAAACACAGCCATGGAAAGAAAGAAAATGGGGAGGTAAGGACAAGTCAGCTCTTCAAAAAGGAAGTTACTGAGAGCCCTGCTTGGACACCCAAGCACGCAGATGCCTGCAGAGCTTTCCATGGCCTCTCTAATCACCAGTGCCATTCATAGTGTGACATGGTGATGCTCACTCAGGCTGCTATCAGTGAGAACATTTAGACTGACTCCTGAGATCATGAAGAAATAAGAGTAAGAAATGGCTTGGTGCAAGAGCTGGAAAAGAGCACTGAATGGGACATATAGGAAGCAGCACAAAGATGGAGTCAAGAGGGGAAAACAGGGCTGGGGAAGAAAAGAGGGATGCAGGATAGATAAGGGAAGGGGGAAAAGGGAAGAAGTTTATACATCCCCATGCACCAGTCTGGCTTTGAGGAGTGTGTCAGCTGCTTAATGCAGAAAGTAACTTCTTCCAGCCAGAGTCCAACTCCCCTCAAACCAGTCCTGAGCAGCTCACTCGTTTCTCAGGTTTCCTGGCTCAAACAAAAGTTTAGGTGAGCACCTTGCAATTCCTTGGCAGCCTGCCAGACCCTAGACTAAGCCACTAAAATAAACTGACCATACACGTGGTGCAGACAGAAACACTTCTTATGATGAAATAAGACGAGCAAATCATATGAAACTCACTATTCAATTTGTAAGAATTTCTGGTTTTGTTTTGATTTGTACTGTAAGCTTTTACTCATGTGCTTTAAATGTTGCAGTTCAGATAGAAACAGATTCAGAAGGATGAGTGTGATGTGAGCTGGTACAAGGAGATGGCAGGGAGAATCTGTGAGATGTGTCACAGCAACAATGGGTCAGTATTTAATAGCAGTTCAGACAGAACTAAAGTCTTGGACTATTCAATACAGCCACTCTTTCTTTGTGTGTGCTTCTTCTCAGTGGTTCCTGTGCCCCCTCCCAGGCTACAGGTTCATTTCCCCTCCTGCAAAACTTAACAAGAGGAGGTTTGCAGCCAGGTTTTACAATGCAGCTTTCTTGGCTTTAGGGACAAACTGTTTGATATGAAAGAAGATAATTCTGTCCTTCCTCTGTAAGCTATACAGGGCTTGACAGGAATAAAAAAGGAACAATCTAAGGCTGCTGCTTTCAAAAGGCCCCAGAGGAGTCAGGAACCCAAATGGTATAGTGGCATTTAAAGATGTGCACTTAAAGGCTTTGAAACCCTTCAGACAAACCACTCATACTACCCACAGAAGACAAGACATGAGGAGCAGACCTGCTGAGAGGCAAGTGGCCCCTTTCAGAGCAGCAAGTCAGGCTGGTAACTCTCGGCAGTCAGTGAACTATGCTGTTCTGTGTCATGTCTAACAGCCTGGTTGGGCTGACTGAAGACAGACTTGGCCAGCCCCTAAGGACTCCTGACTGCTGGTACCCAAGTGGAACAGGACTAAAGAGTACAAAGGCCTGAAACACAGAGACAAGCTCACCTGATGGGTTCTGCTTACACCTCTTTTCTTTAGGTTTTTCTGTCCCCGAATGAACAGCTGTAATTGTGGTGAATGCTTGGATTAGTACAGGATTTCTTCCCAAAACATAATATGCAGTATTTTAGTAACAACTTTTTTCCCATTCACTATCACCCACTCTGCTACTGTACAATGGTTTTCCAACATCACTTCATTCCTTTTCAACATGGTTCCAGAAAGCCCCTTATTTGCTTCAGAGGTAGACATAAACCCCCACAACAGATGCTGTGTAACCTGCTCCAGGGAGAAACCCCTTCCCTTACCTGTTCCTTCCAGCTAGCAGCGTTGCAAACACCACGTTTTGTACTCTTGAATGGGGAATGGAGGGAGGCCAGCCTTTTCTGCTGGCATGTTGTTTATCTCTGCATCAAGATGCTGAAATTACATTTCATCTGGTTTGTCTGTTATGCTCCAATTAGGGAGCAGGAGGTTACATTGGCAGGATAAAAATTTTGTAAAGAAAACTCTATAAATGGTGTATCTAAACAAAATTGTCTAGGCCAGTGGTTATTTTAGTTACTACCACTTGGACTTAAAACTCAAAGGAAACTCCAGAAGTGGAGTAAATTTTAATTCCTTCTAGCACATGAATTTTGGTCCCACATCTACACATCTGGTATGCTGTGACGTCCATGTAGTGAACTCACAAACAGCTGGACTCTGGTTACAGTGACATGTAAATAAACCGCCACATTTAGCACCACTGTAATATGCAAACTGCTGTTCTATTCATAGTCCTTAAACTTCTCTTGCTTGTTGCAAATGGCTTTGCTTCACATGGACTTCACTGATGCACAGACAAAGAATGAGTACTGCTTTACCTCCATCCATATTCCCCTTTCTCTGCATCTTTGCTCCCCACTCTAAAAATTATGCTGAAGTATCTGGACCTTGGGAGCAGGATCCCCATATCACCTTTTTTACAGGCTTGGAGTATTATGAACCTGGGGAGGAGTGAGAAGAGGGCACTACCCCAGGAAGGCTAGCTGCCTGCAAGCTTAAAGGCGGCACCCCAAAATATATAAACAATCACTGATCACAGCTGAATCCTGCTCTGGAGAGGGACGTAGTAAGCAACAGCAGGAGGGAGTGAACACACTTACCACTGGAGTTCTGAGAATTGCTGTTTGTTTCTTCAAAGTTGTTTTGCGCTTTGCCTTCCACTCTCCTGCTGAAAGCACTTTCTGCTGGGAGGAAAACAAAGCAGGTATGGTGACTGGTCAATACTGGGTGCAGAACCACACAGACAGGAGGCAAGACAACATGCTCCTGTGCCACATAATTGTATACCCTGAATACAGCAGAAAGGTCAAATACCTCATTTTGGAGGCAAATGGGCCATATTCATTGAAAGGATAACAGGTAGATATTTTTCTTGAATGCCTTCTGGCTGAGGTGGCCTGGATTGGCTCTTAGGGAGCCCACGAACACCAGTCCTGACTGAACCAGAAGGGTCATGGCTTCCTCCCCTGCAAAAAACCCCAACCCTTATCTTACTCTTCCTTAAGGCAATAAGCAGCCCTTAAAGCCTCTGGCATGGGTGACCAGGTCTGCAGATTGAACCCGAGTCCTCATCACAACAGAATCCAGTCACCTACAGAAGCACTATACCAGCTATCCCTGTGCTTCCCAGTAATCTGCATTCCCTTCCTAAACACCCTCCCTGAAATGTTCAAGTGGAGGACTGAAAGGCTGCCTCAGAGCCTGCCCACGATGTCTGGAAAAGCTGCACTAGATCTTCTGGCCCTCTGTGCTTTCCAACAGTGAACTCCCCACCGCACCCCTCCCCAAGGCCAAACAGGTAGGCTCTGCTCCTCAGCAGCTGGTGCTCTTGTCAGTTCACTTGCTTTGCACACTTCAGCAACAGCACTGGGCAATTTCCCAGTAACTGTAATGGGAGGACTCCTCCAGTGCGCAGAGGTGGTTCCTGACCCTGGTGGTAGCGGTAGTGTCCTGAAATGTCACTGTACAGCACAGCTGAGATGCCTCCCATCCTTCTCAAGCTGGTGTCCCTTAGCACAAGTTCAACAGTACAAATAGTGTGAGGTCTTGTCTCACTTCAACTAGCTTTGCAATATCTGAGGCAAAGTATTTTACTGTAGTGACTCAAAGGATAAACTAGAAATAAATACAATGGAAGGTGAACTGGCCAAACTAATGTGTATGGTCTATGCTGTATAGACTCTTCCCATACATGGACTCGATTCATGGAGTCCACTGTCACCCAATGGGTTCATCTGAACATGGCTTGGCAAGGCTCTGCTGGGCTCAGCAGCATGCAAATTGTATAGGGAGGGAGCTGGGGGACAGAAGTCTTTCATTCAGGAGTGACAGGGACTGCTGAAAACTGCTATCAGGTCATTATTTCATTATGTATTTCTGCAGACCACTGGAGTGGTCAGAACTGCTGTCATGCATTTCATAAAGAGGCCCCAGCTCCCTGCAGCCTCGCAGCCTCCCTGTTCTGAAATGTGGCTCAGACACACAGACTTTATGTCTGATGTGGCTAAAAACGACCTGAACTGCATGAAGCTCTCAGCCCATGAATTTTGGTCCAGCCAATCCTTAGTGGACCCTTGAACTCCTGAGCAGGCTTCTCAAATTCTCTATCTACTACATCCCTGACTCTTTCTAAAATGCAGAACAGGAAAACTTGGTAATCAAATCGGTTAAAACAGAATCATGTAAAACAGGGCTGAAAAGGACCTGGAGACATTATCTAGTCCACCCCCCTTGACAGATAAGTAATAGGAATGAGAGGCCTTAAGTAACTAGAAAATCAGATGGCACAGTGGGAAAAAGAGACCACGACAAAATGGATTAGGCCAACCTACCCCCTCAAGAGACCCAGGTTCAAATCCTGGCTTATGTCACAAGTGGAAGTGAGTTCGAGGTCTCCAAAAACATTTGGAAAAAATTTGCATGGTAGTTTTGTCCTCATCCCCTATCCTTTTTTTTTTTTTAACTTGCCAAGTCTGGCAACAAGAAAAAAACAGTTTAATGCATCTCCTTGGTCTTACTGCGTCCTTCCCACAGAGGAGAGGGCAGCTGACGCAAGTTCTCTCTCTCTCTCTCTCCCCGCCCTTGCACCTGAACCTTTTGCATGCAAAGCAAAATTATCTGTATAGACAAAGTAAGTGCCACTCTACTGAGCGTCTGTGCAAACACTGTCAGTGGAGCAGTACTCCACCATCGCTGGTATTATCCAGGCCCACGTGGAATGTCTCTAACCACAGCACTTGGAAGGCATCCCTTCTGGAGACCGTCTTCCTGAAAGGTGTTATGATCAATGCATTTGTACCAGAAATTCAAGAAGCTGCTCAGATTGCATTTGTACAAGACACTGCCTTGAAAGACACCATGGAAATGATGCCACCAGATAGACAGAGTAGGGACCTCCAGACTAATATTAGTTTCTTGAAGATCAATCTACCAGGCTCAAGCATCATGTGATTCCCTCCTCCATACAGGAGGAGAACAGCTCAAAGTTTTTACCCAATGTACTGATATACTTTTTGATTAGAGAAGTGGGGGGAAAAAAGTGCCTTTACAAAAAACATCTCCCAGTTACTGCTCAGATGAATCTGGCCTCTGACCCAGGAAGGCTCCCAGTTTTTTCACTTTTGTGAGAGACGTGAAACTGGAAGAAGTTGTTGCAAGTTTAAGTAAACAATGAAAAAGGTTATTCAGCTTTAACTCCTAACTTGGTTGAACTGAATGGACCTCAAATTAGTAATAAAATCTTATAAATGTTTAAGGGGTGCAATAACAATATGGAATCTCAGGACTCACAAGCTTTAAGAAGATAGGTCACTCACTGCAATACTGGTAGCTGCGGATGTGTGTGTTATCTAACAAAAAGCATCCTTGTTGAGTTTCTTGGCCTCTCCCACCACAGCCACCTCTGCTACTTGGCATCTGTCCATGCCAGACATTGCAGGGGCATTTAAACACCAGCTGATTAACCAGCAGTTCTTCTGTACTGAGATGGAATATGTATCTATCAATCCTACAGATTTAAGAGAGTTCTTCCCTGCTGCCTGGACATATGAACACTACGTCTCACACATCCTATTTATTAATAGTTATTTTTCAGTGCTCTTTGCTTGCTTTTTTTTTTATCCTTCCTTTTTTTTAAGGTTTGATCTTGTTTGGAAGGAGGAAACAGGGACTATGGGAGGATCAATCTTAACTTGAGTCTTCTAACACCTCTGTAATGGTTCTGTACCATTAATTTTGCTGCTGGAGCCCACCTTATCTCTCGCTGGTTCCTGTGGGGAGCTGAGCACTGTGAAAACACCTGTACTCCATTTTACTTCCTCAGGCACAGGCCAAGCCCTGAAAATATAGCCTTGAGGGAAACAAACACTAAATGCCAAACAAAGCTGAAAACCAAACAAAAATCCCCATATCTGACAAGCCATGACACCAATCCTTGTCAGGAAGCTCTCCTCAGTTTGTGACACCAGGATTTGAAACAGGGTCTTTTGTACCTCGTGGTTAGCATGATGCTTAAAAAACACCCAACTTGTCACTGGGAAGAGGTTATAAAGACCTACTGCTGATGTAGATTTTTATTTATAACGTGCCAAAGGATCTAATCCCCTCAACTGCTTCTGGAGTAGCTTTTCTAGGACAGTCATGGATGGAGCAGACTGAATCCAGGAAGGGTCAAAAGCCAACCCAGGGCAGGACTGGACACCAAGCAGTTAAGAAAGTTGATGGTAGAAAGGCAATTGGTACCTGTGATGGCCTTGCTTCCTGGGGATCCAGAATTTGGAGCGCGGAACATCTGGGATTGGGATGCGGGTGGGACACCGGAGGGGGTGCGGTGCAGGAGGGTAGAACATCGGTTTATTGAAGCCGGTGTTTTTTTGCTGGATTGGCTCGCCTGTGTCTTCACTGCCACGAAGAGTGGAGATCGAGAGAACTCTGGATATGAACACTCAGAACTAGTGCCTGGACAGTCAGTCAGCTCCCAGATTGTGTGCCTTCTGGGAGGGTTGCTTTCTAACAGCCATACTCATGAATCCCTTGCATGGTGACCTGCAGCAACTGTGGATCCACCGATCCCATGTAACAAAACTGTTTTCCCCACTCACCCCAGGGGGCAGATTCTTTAAGCTTATTAGTTCCCTTCCACACCTTTAACTGCCACGTGACCAACCCATTCCTCCTCCAGCAGGAATCACCCCATCCATCCAGGAGTACTATTTGATTGCCATGGCTTGGCTGGGTGTACCTGCAACTCTGTCCTCCATTTCTGTGTATATAAGAGTTTGCATTTTTAGAGCAGGTTTCTAATGTGATACTCAGAACTCTGAATAGGGAGCAGTTTACACCTTTGTTACTTGAGCCTTGCATAAATCCTAGAGATCTCTGGCTACACTCGTTGTCTCATTAACCAAATACAAAGGAAAGGGGGCTGTTGGTAATGGAAGGGAATTAGGAGGCAGTGTTCTCATCCTGCAAGTCAGGAAAGGCCTTTTGGCCCCATCTCCAGACAAGTACTGGTGACATGTGGAGAAATTCTGAGTATTACTGGGATACGCTCTTTGAATGTATTCACATTTTGGTATCTGCAAAGCACAGTGAGGATCATCTGGAATTTTCAATGCCAAAAGTCATATGAAAAACCTTCAGGAGGACAGCCCTTTGTCTAGGCCACATGAATTAAAAAAACAATTACAAAAATGGAGAAACAACCTAACAACCCTCTCCATTCCTCAGTGGCTTCTTCCATGGAAATTTGGATACGGATCCTGAAGCCCAAGTCCCATGCCAACCAGCTGCCATGAAGAAGCACTAAGAAACAAGGTTCGCATAACCCACAGCCCAAGCTCACTACCAGTAATTTCTATAAAGTGATATTTTAGGATGCCTAAGGTTGGACAGACAACACTAGCACCTGTTCATCCCATATAGTGTAATTCAGAAACACTCATCTACACTGAGAAGTTCTCCATCATGGACTGCCATGGCAGCACAACAGCCTGACTCTGAAACCAGTGAGGAGAAAAGTCACCCAGACTAGGACTGGATGCTCATTTCCAAAATCCCATGAGATATTATAGACCTCGAATGTGAACTGCTCTCATCTTCCCTGTCAGCAGTCAGCAGCACTGGAGAGTGAGGATGTGTACATTCAAAGTGGCTTGCAAAAAGATACCCAAAGGGAACAGGTTTTTGTTTTACTTGATCCAATACACAGATCCAAGATGACATTTCCTGTAAATGTTAGCGTACTTCTGCAGGAGATTCTGCACTAGGTTTTCTGGCCAGCTGAATAGGCAGGAGGCTTGCTTTTGCCTCCTATACTTCCTTTCAGTCTCCATGGATAAGATTATCCATGTTGTTGCCAAACTGCTGGCAAAAATGTAGTCAGATATGACAATTTCCCGCTTAGGTGTCATCTAGTTTCTCACAAGGCCCATTCCCACCAGTTGCTGCTTTATTCCCCATCCACACCAAGAGAAGCAGCAATCAGCCAACTATTCAGTCTCAGAAACAAAGAGCATCATTGCGAATCCTCTGCAGTCCAGATACTGCTCTCTGAGATCTGAAGAAAAAAGTCTCAATGCTATGAAGACCTCCAAAATTACTTCTTTTTCCTCCCAACTTAAACAAATATTATGTCTTCAAATTCAGACCCCAGAGAGAAGGCTGCTCCATCTGACACTAGGCAGAGACAGAGTTTGAGCCAGCAAGGCAAGACAGACAAAAGAATATCAGTTCTAGCAGTCTGGAGGATGCTAATAATTCATTGAAAAAAAAGTTTTAGTCTTTAGTTCATCAGATGACAAATTCCCTCTGAACACTAAGCAACACAGGTAGAGACAATCACATAGCTCCTCTATTCTGCTCTTGAAAAGTCATTTTCACTGTGGAACTCACTGCCTCAGACTGACGAAAAGGCCAAGTTCAAGATATTTCAAAAAATAAAAATACCGAGTGCTGACTGGTTAAAAAAACCTCCTGCCTCAAAATCTGTAGCTAGATAGCAAGACTGGAGACAGCATTGTGGACATAAGATCCCATAGCTGCTGCTGCTATGAAGTTTTTTTAAACTTTCTCAGAAAGCATCTGAGAGATGCCTCAGTTGAAGCTGACATACTGGAGATGGGAGGGCACGAGAGGAGTAATGTAGAGGGTAAATCTCAGTGAATGATCTCCAGCCACTTCGTAAACTGAGTGCACTGTGCTACAGCCACAGAGAATGGCACATGGTGTGCTAAAGAAAACAGATGATGCAGGTGATACTTAAAAGATGGAGGACTCTGCCTTGGCAGCAGGAAAAAGAGCTTGTTCATTGCTGCGCTTGGTCATGATGGCTGTAGAGGAACTCCCAGGGCAACGATGTAGCTAAAAAGACTGAGGTACTCTTTGGGTATGCAATCAGGGCACTTTCAAAGGTGATCAGGAAGACAATGTCAGCTCTCAGTTCCTTCACTAGACCCAGTGCTGGTGCATGCCCTTCATGAAGGTCGTTAACAGACTTGAGAATATTCAGATGAGAAGGCAAGAGGATAAATAAAAGACAAGAACAGCATACCTTACAATGGAAAGATCAAGTCATTCCTTTGGCTTAACTGGGAGGTTAGTTAGTATGAAGTGACTTGACAGCAGGCTATACAGAGGTCTAGAAAGGACAGAAATTTGGTAACTTAGTCCTCCTTCACATAGCAGACAAAGTTATAAACAGGATCCAGTGTCTGAAAGCTACAGCTGGATATTTTGAGTCTTAAATTAGTGAGGGCAATAATTCATCAAAATAATTACCTTAATAGGTTGCTGTATTTTCTGTCACTCTTAACAGCAAGATTAGATGCCTCTAAAACATATACGTAATTAAATCAAGGCAATCCTACAGCATGTGCTACTCCGGTCAGTCTAGAGATCACAGTGGTCCCTCCCAGCTTTCCTGGTTTTGGTAAGACCTTGAAGCCCTGTGAATGGCAAGCTGCAGCAGTAAGTAGAAAATCTTGCAGACATTTTAACATGTCTCCTTGAAAGATGCATAAATCCACACGCTACCACGATGCACCACAACAGAACAGAGATCAGATTATCAGTAACTTCGCTTTTACCAGGTAAAAATTCTGACTAATAATTAGTGTACCACATTTTTTCAGAAGGATCTTGTCAGGATCAGTAAAGAACCATTTGGATGGTTCAGATGGAATTATACCGTCATCTCTGGAGAAAAACCTATCTTTAATGAATATGATGGAAAGTGATTCCTTAACAATGGCCTGAAAATCAAGATGCTGAGTGGAAACCTCTGCTATTGGAAACAGGTGTTTCCATGGGAAAAACCCTGTGCTCAAACCTACCAAATTCTTAATGTGCTGCTTTATACATACATACAAATATTGCCAGTGGAGCCCGTTGCTAACGCACTGTAGGATCAGAGAGTAGGAAAAACATCTAACTCACAGATTTCACTCACTGAGATGAAGGAGGCAAAGACACACCATCCAACTGGCATCTGGATCTGTTTTTTTCTTGGTTAGGCAGGACCTGTGTGGAAACTACACGTGCTACCAAAAAGGATCCCTTTCCCCAAGAGGAAAAGCCATGATGGCAGCTGCCTTCAAGAAACACTGTGTTTAAGCACTTTTGATGAATGAATTGTATCCAGTGTCCTTCACAGTAAGAAAAGTAATTGAGCAGAGGCTTCCTTGAGCATCTCAGGTGTCAGGGTGGATGTAGGTCTGTCTGTCCCCTATGGAGCCAAGTATGATCACGGGGCTGGCAGGGCAGGGTCTTCGACAGCCGGGGCCCATCCCACAGCCCCTAAGAGAGGTGAGCAAGGCAGGACCAGAGATGACAGCCAAGTTCAACCAAGAGTCCAGATCATCAGGAAGTTCATGGCGATGAGACAGGACTGTGGTCAAGCTGGGAAGTCAAGCCAGAGGTCAGTGGCAGGATAACCTCTGGTGAGGTCAACCAGGGCCAGACACATACCAGTGATCTTCAGGGAGATCCAGAGTGATGAGACAGGGTTAACATCAAGCTGGAAAGTCAGTCTACAGGTTGGTGTACAGACCAATGGCATCCACGGCCAGCTATGGGCATGTCTGCAACTGAGCTGGAGACCAACATACTACGGTGTAGCTCAGGCAGGGACCAGCTCAGGCTGGTCAGGGCCATTAAGACCTCTTAGTGCACTCAGGGCCCTGACACCACTTCAGATTTTCATCCTGGAAGCAACAGACATGGATAGCTGTGCAAATTTTAGCGCTCTCACCACATACTTCCATGACCAGGGAGTCTGTTGCCTTACCTGCAGTTACCAGAAGAGGATGAGGTAAGTGCACACTCCTGAGCCTGGACTTACCAAGCTAAAACCCACTCTTGTTGGCTTTTCTAGTTAGTCCACGTCCCAAACACACTAGGTTTTCTCTGCACAGCAATCACAATAGCCCAGCAACCTGCAAATGTCATTAAATAAGTTCCATCTTGCAGAGAAGACAGAGCCTGGTGGACAGAAAAATCTCTGAACCCTCCCCTTGTGCACCTCCATTCAGAGACATTTCTAAAACTGGGACAATGAATGTGCCTACAATCCACTTTTTTTTGGAAACAGCCTCTTGACACCCTTCTTGGAAAGAGTGAACAGGATGACATAAACAGCATGAGAATATGTATTTTAAAAGAGGAATAGCCCAGTTCTAAGCATATGAAAAAGCCCGTACTCCTCACTAATAAAAGGGAACTTTCAAAGGAGACATTTGGCATTAACAATTCCAGGGAACGCCACAGCAGAGCTCTTTTCCAGACAGCAGGTATCCAGCAGCACTGACCAAAAATTATCCTGCAAGGTCCTGTTGACCCTGCAGGATATAAGTCCTTGTTTTAGCCCATTTTCAATGAATTTTTATCCATTATCACAGAAAACCAGAAAGACAGGCTCCGGAAGGGAAGCTTGCACTCACACAGAGAGACCCAGAAAATTGAATTGGTAATGCTGAAGTGTTCACCCTACCTGCTCCCACTATGGCTAATTTTTCAACATTTGCCTTATAACTAGAAGAACCAAGACCAGAGTAAAAACACCGTCTCAGCTTTACTACTTCTAACTGCTAGAGCCTGAGAAAAGCCAGCTGTGCTTTTCAAAAGACATGTGTTTGCAGCTGTCTCACAGGACCTTGATTTATAGGAAGAGCAGAGTATGAGCAGTAGAAAGGTGGGAGGACGTACTGGCCAGCCTGCCTTGGGAGCTCATCACGCCCTCTCCTGTAAGCTCATCAGGGTTAGTGGTTTGTCCCTGTAAATCATAAATCTTACTCATCATGGGAGCTAGGAGAGGAAAAAGAAAAAAGGTTAAAAAAAAAAAAAAAAGGAAAAAGAAAAGTTTATGGGGAGGGGGTTAAACCTTATGAAAATATTATGCTGATCTGATCTGAAGTGTCCTCACAGTTAAAGATATTTGCTGAAAGGACTGAAAACCCATATGCACATCTCCGTGACTTCAGGTCTGGTCTGCAGCAGGGGCAGCTTCTTTTGCTTTCACAAAGGTTACTGCAGAAAACCATGGTGCAAGAATGGCTTCAACCCCAGCATCCAAAAGGATGTGCCTCCTCCTCCTCCAAAACTGGCTTCCAGTAGTCAAAAACTGGGCATCAGGACCCTGCAGCTGCACTCTGCACAGGGAGAAGGGCAGTATCTGTGTGGACCATTTGTATCTGCAGTCAGACCTGCAGAGCCCACTCCAGGCAAATACCTCTCAGAGAAGAACAGTTTCGTTTTTCTTTTATGCTGGAGAGCTTGGACTGGAACCAGCAACTGCAGCCTATTACTACAGATGGTTGGGAGGGTGGAGAGATATCCATAGTGATAAATCCCCTTGAAATGGGAAGTATTGGGAAGATAAGAATCTGCTATTGCTGAGCACAGATTCAATGCGCAGTCCTTACAGCATACTGCTCCCTAGCTATCTGTACAGGGGTGGACTAGAGACACCAAAGACTTGGTGTCTGAGGGCCCATCTATACTAGGAGATTGACCCACTGCTGATCACCACCAACAGCTTTTCTGAGGACCTGAAAACACCTGAATTAAGAGGTAGAGTTTGGGGGTGCAGGGATGTTTAGGAGTAACTGTTATGTGTGCAATCATAAGCACTGGGTTGGTTCCCTCAGGCAGATGGGAGATAATAAGACTAACTTTGTGATGATGGTGGTAGAGGTTATTTTATGCCCTACACCTTCTACCACAATCTTGGTCCATCTCCAGGCTTCAGAGAACCTGCATGGGAGCTGTCAAGAGCCACCAAGCCTTGACCCACCTTAAAAGTGATAGTCTGGTGGACTATGTTCCAAATTTATTTCTATGCATGTCTAAAACCAAAGCTTCCTTATAATAATAACTTAAAAACCTAACTAAAGCTGAATTTGGTGAGGAAGGAGTGTGCGCTCCCTCTGCTGGCTGCGGATGAGCAGCTGAAGAAACCCACTAAGCTAATGAGCTCAGGTCATCCATCCTCATCATCAGCCAAAACGCTGGCAGCTGGACAGACATAGGCAAAGAGCAACCATGCTGGCTCACAGCATTAAAATCGCAATAAAGCACAGGGCAGTGCTATGAAAGAAGCATGAAGTTCAGGTGTGAAGAACTTCTCTGCATACTTTTAAAGGATCCAAAACCAGCATGTAGCAAGAATTTCTCTCAACTATTTTACTAAAATTTTGTGCTGAATTACACTTAAGTGCTCATTAAAACCTCCCCTTTGTCTGGGGAGTGCAGACCGTAGTGTCCCTCCAGACTGCAGATCGTAGTGTCGTGTAGTATGCTGAGAACTGCCTTTCCCCGAGCTTCCTGAAATAAATATTTTATTGCCTGTGATTTAGTAGCAAGCTGCCAAGGTCATTTACATGATTTTGCAAACCAGTTTTATCTCACTGTCTGAAATAATTTCTCAGAAGCTCGTAAGAAAGATGCTTCTTCCCTAGCATGTATGTTCAGTTTTATTTAGGAGAGTTAAACAACAAAATAAAATATCAAACCCCCAAGGAACATACATATAATTGCATGGACTTTGGTAAAAGTTCAGTGACATTACAGATCTAACAGTAACAATGTCCCTTTGCAAGGAGATTCCAGCTCAGCTTTAGAGTGCCCTGGTCAGCACATGATCTACGTCCTGCCAGCTGCAATGCCACAGGTCCAGTGGACGGATCCACAAGAATGGTATTCTATCCTGCAACCCTCATGTTTACCACCAACCACTGTAAAACACAGTCTGTAATGAAATAGATCTCCAGCAGGATACTCACTAATAGGTGCATGCAGTGCCACATGTTCTTGGTAGGGAGTGTAGTATTTGTACTGCTTGCCACAGAATTCACAGGTGTAATTGCCAGTTTCTGTGAAGATGAAACAAATACAAAGATCAGAAAGGAGCGCAGGACCCTCTCACACCATCACCAGCTTCCCGACTTTTTACACAGAAACTGGCCAGGTGACAAAAACTAGAGCATATTCCTTGTGCACTTGGAACTTATCTGCCCTGTAATTCACACATCCTTTTCCCCAACAAAGGAAACAGTTAAACCGGTGTCCAGAGGGATGGAGCATGCATAAAAAGTCCAGTAGAACTGAACAAGCTCCAGGAGATTATCCCAAAATTGCAGCAAGTAAGTATGCAAAACAAAGGAGAGAATCCATTTCTGAAGTCTGTATTACAGACGACACAGTTTTGTCTTCCGGTTATAGACAAGTCTGTGATAGGTGGAAAACAGGAACAGTCAAACTAGGAAACATGTTGTCAAGTTTAAGTCTTAATTACAGAACTTTTCTATTGGGATTGTAGATTTCTGTTGCATGAGGAGGGGCTTTTCTGTAGTAATTGTGCTAACTCCTGCTTTGGGGGTACTTAAAATAATGAAGTAGCACAACCACACACTGACACCTCCCACTCCTGCCAGTGCTGGGAAGCACAGAACTGACAGCAAGCTGCAAGCCAAAGGAAAATCCAGGGTTAATCAATTGTTTCCAAAACGAAGAATTCGGAGAAATGCTTCGGCAAAGTCTGGTCCTCTCTTTGTTTCACTCTGATCTGTTTGATGAACCCACCACAGTGGCAAAGTGAATGCAATCACCTGCCAACTCTGTCAATACACCTTAAGACCCTCTCTAATCGCTGCCAGCTTGCTTTTCTCCTGAACCTCTTTCCTCTTCTCTTTGCAGAGCTCTTGAGCAGAAAATGTCACAAAGCTGCATTTCTTAGGGCCAGGACTGTTGGTGTTTGGTGTTCATTTGAACCTAAACATATCTTTCAGCACCCTTAAGGTCCCAACACCCCTGTGTAACACAGTGCTTTCTGGTTTTCCTAGAGGTACTCCAGCTAATGCCAGATTTAAAACCCTTGTGCTTTCTCTTTCATATTTGAAGCTGTATAGTAACTCATACTTGGACCAATCTTCTGGAACGGTTCTGGCTCCTCCTCCTTCACTTCATCTGCTGCTATGACGGCCTGGTCATAGGGGTCTGCAAGAGAACAGAACCAGCAAGAGAGCTGACAACACCCTCAGGTTTTCCTTCTACAGCTGCATGGGCACTGAATGCTCCTGCATCTGTAATGACATTTCGATCTGTAACAAGAATTCAAGACAGGAATTATAAACCAAATGATCCCTCTCTCTGACTTGTCCCTCCTTCTCCTCAGATGCCCCAGGATTACCCCCACTTCCAGCCCAGTAACATGCCTTGTAGGTATATAATGTTTAAAAAATACAGAGAAAGACTGAACAAACACATTGCAAAGCCTGATCCATATTTTCTGATCTTCTTCCAGCGCATCTCCTATCTAATGATGTTACACTGTCTGACAGTGGGCACGGTAATGCAGTCTGCAAACAAGTCAGCTTAACAAATACTGACCAGTGACTTTCTACCATCTAACAGCACAGCTAGCAACAAATCAGAACCCAACCCATTTTATAAAATAATTTAATTTATGCCTTGAACAATTCACTAAATCACCGAAGACATGAGACATCTGCTTCTTTGACTTTCAGAAGCCTGATCAATTGTATGTACAACAAAAGCCTGGTACCTACTAGGGCTGGGCATCAACCTACTGGCTGTAGACATTGGGGGAGGGAGAGAGGGTGCTCCCTCTCCCACTGCAATCAGTGACAAAACTCCCTTCGACTCTTACAAGCGTAGAATCAGACCTGCTGTGCCTGAACTACTGAATTCTTGAAAAAGTTTGTGAAATAAAGCACACAAAGGATCTCGGCTTACCTGCCCGGTTTTCTGGGGCCCCTTCCACACTAAAAACTAACATAGAATAGAAGAAGGAGGGGAAGAAACAAAACAGAAATTAAATCCTCTTAAACGGCCTTGTTTTCCTCCTGTATTTCACGTATCGCTTCAGCATATTTCAGCCCCACAGAATAAACCAGGCTGTGTGCCCCAGTCCCTCCTCTTCCCAGCAGCATTCACACAGGAACTATTGGAGCATGCCCAGCCCTAATATACACAGATTCTCAAGGCCTTTGTTCTGACACTGACACAGCCCCACGTGAAGTTCAGAAGCACAGCTGCCTCACACTTGTGTTTGCTAAAACACAACTATCCCCTTGGAGGAACTGAGATAAAATGTCCTTGCAAGACACAAGTGGAAGCTGTTTCCAAAGCCCTCTCATAATCCTAGGCAGAGCTCCCTGAACCATAGCTATGAAGACACATTTCTGACAGAAGCAGACATGTCCATCTCACAGTGACTTTCACTCCCAGTAATTTAATTTTGGCTCCCCATGGGAGGAAGGGAGGTTGCAGTGGTGGACTGCAGGAGAACACTGGCTGTTCTTAGAGCATGTTTAGATGTCCACAAGTTCCTGTTAAAAACAGCAATTTTTTTTGAACGCCACATATTGTGAGAAAACACTTGCTTTTCTGAGACAGTCCAGCCATTCAAAAACTTCTGCTTTCCAAGCAGCCTCTTTCTAAACCTCTGCCAGTGCTCCCTCCTTGGCCAAGTAAGGAGCAGTATTGACAGGCTTGTAGCATACACAGTGAGGGACTGGAGTATATGTGGGCTCTGAGTAGAGGAGCTTTAGATGCCCAGTAAGCAGGGAGCAAGCCAAAGCCAGTATGTTGTTGCTTCTATTTCCCCTAACGTAGAAAGAACAAACACTGCTTCTGGAGGAGGGTGTTGGCTTCTGTCCAAGTGTCACCAGCCTAGGCCACATCTACATTCACAGACGAAAAACTGGCCTGTAAGGTCCACTGACAACTGCATCAGTTCACTACCACAGTGATTAATAAGAATGAAATAACAGTTCTCAACTTTGAAATGTGGTTTCTTACAGAGGAGCATGTTGGGAACAAACCTGTAAAGTCAGAAACGAAAAGGCAACCAACTCTTACCCAGCGAGTAGCCAGACTGACAATTTACCTTGTGGCACTCAGTTGTAGCATATCCATCCTAACCATGAACCTTAACAAAGACAGGACTGCAAGGACCACAGGTCCCAGCAGAGGGTGTTATTTTGATGTACGCAAAGAGAATCAAGCACAGCAAACTTCTTCCTGCAGTGCCTGTGGACTGTGCCTCCACTGCAAAGGCGAGCAAGCCATGCTGTGCAATGTCCTGTACATCATGGGCCGCACGGTCCTGCAGAACCACATTTTGCCTTCCCCAATGACTTCTCATTCTAGTTTGGGTGTCTGAGTGTCAAAACAGTACTCACCATCCACAGCATGCAGGTCTCTGTGCTCTTGGAAGCAGCTATAATATTTATATTTTTTCCCACAAATGTCACACGTGTACCTAAAATTGTCTGTAGAAAGAAGAAAACAGGCCACTTTAGAAACTTTGAGATAAAAAGCAAGCACTGCAGACAACGCTGCTCAATCAGACACCCCCATGCAGTTACACTCATCCCACACACTCTGTCAAATCTCTAAGGCAAACAGACAACCACTGCTTCACAATGTCCCTTGTGTGCCCCACACCATATGGCTTGGGGCATATTCTGACTTGCTATTTCCTATTCAAGCAGCTCTGCTCTCCAGTACAGCCTCCAGAAGACCTCACAGCAAAGCAATGAAGACGCAGAGCAACAGGGCCTGCTGAAATCTCCGTTGGAAGTTCAGGGCTACAGCAGGCAAGTACTGGTCAGGATGGGGACAAACTGGCAGAACTAAACACAGAGCCAATGTATGAGCTATTAGAAGTCAAAGTCTTAATATGCCAACTACAACATGGCCTGCATGTGCCTACATGCTCATACCCCACTTGGTTCTCACTGCTGCTGCTTACTGAATACTAACTGCATCTAAGACCCCATATGGGCACGTTATAACAAACAAAACCAAAGAGAACCAACAATCCAAAACACGCAGAACAGTAAGGTGCTCAATGAACAGAAGGACTGATGGAGCCTGGTTTCATGTATGTTTGTACCCCAGACTCCCCTCCCTTCTTCCCAGCAACAACAGACCCCCTTCACCAAAGCTGTGGGGGGAAGACAGATGCAAAAAAGCTCAAGATGCTTATGAATTCATTTTGGTCTGACCGAGCACAATGAATGTCTTTGGCTCAGCTATCACATCAGTGTAAGAGGAAAATTTCACTTGTCAACTTGGTCGGGTTTTTCCATCTTCTGATGTCTGACATACACCTCGGGGTACAGACTGACATCCCTAAGTAGTCACCCCACTGCAACTTGCAGCATTGTACTTGTCAGGCAACCACAGTAGCTGATCGGTTGCGTGCTACTAGACCATTGCAAACAAAGTAAACCACATCAGCTTGTGTAGCCACAAAGGATCTTGAAACTAATGTTTTACTTCACAACAGGATCAAGCTAGGAATGTACACATCAGCTACCGAGGCTCCATAGATGAGTAAGCTCCAGTAGATTCAGTAAGCCCCCCTGCAGTAGCTCAGTTGTTTGTATTCACGTATCCATATGTTTAGCAAAGATAAAGTCTTGTTTTTACCTCTTCCATACTGTGTTCAAACATACCAGAGTATGCACATTAAGTAAGCTTTTATTTTACTTCTCAATAATTTTATTTTTAAAATAAATATTTTAAGCTAGTATGCATTGGTACAGTCTAATCGCTCACTTGGGTTCACTACTGCAGTCCATCAGCCCATGGGGTTTCAACACTAAATGAAGAACCATTTTCCACCCTTTATTCTGCTTGGCAGAATGAAAGTAGAAGCTATGGTGATCTATAAGAAAAAAAATGCCAAATACAAAAGGTGTTACACAGCTGAGCATGGGAACTTTACCCCGCTACCAAAAAATATTTGTATCTTAACCAGAACACAGCAATGCTAAGCTAGATCTAAGGGATTTTTAAAAGTCTAGGCTGAACAAGTGAGACAGAGCCCAGGCATATATACCGAGATGAAAAGGTTTCACTGCTTCTGACAGTGCATTGCTTAAGGAAGAGAAGGAGGAGAAGCAAAACATGACTGCAAGAACATTCAAGTGATAAAAGCACTGGTGGGTCACATTTAACTATGTTTCATTATAAATCTTATGCAGTCTCTTTCTGTGGCCATACATGGGAACTAAGGGTCTCAATCTACTCTGGACCCTTTCTGACAACAAAGCGAATCTAATGACTGCTAGTGAATATTTGTGTATCTGTTGCAAAAAAAAAATACAGTCAATTATTAGCAGAGAAAATTCATAACATGTCATCAGTAATCAGTCCCACATCACTGGTGTCCCCTAGACAAGAAACCAACCTCATTTCTGAAGTGTAATGAACCATGCGGTAAATGAACTGAAGACTAATTCTTCAAAGGAGTACCAAATACCAACCATTTTCAATACCTCCATTTGGAGGAAGAAAACTATTATGACCTTAGTTTAGAAGAAAACTGCTCAGTAAATAAGGAGACTTGTTAGAATAGAATAAAACTAAATGCTAGAGGGACACTATTTCACAGACTCAAACAGGCATGGCTAGTTGTAGTCTCTAACTTAGTAAAGATTGTGGGGATCTCACTGTCAACAGCAGAAACTTGAGTAGCATATGCTGGGTATGACCACTTCCTTCCCGAGGCAGCGTGGGGAAAATGAAAACACAATAAAAAGTGTAACAGCATGCCCCAAGAGAATAGGGTTTTGCTTGTTTTGTTAGGGGGCTGTTGTCCCTAAGGAAGAATGAGCTCCAGAGATTATAGTGAAACAAGTCATTATGAGGAGTTAAGAATTTGTTCCAACTGGTATTGGTACTAATCTCTTCCTCAACTCTTTAAAGGAGATAACACCCAGCAAATGGTGCCAAGTCTCAGAGACGAGGAGGTTTACAGAGAATTCAGAAAGTATCACGAGACTGCCGATGTGTAGCTAAGCTTTACCCTCTCTGAACAACGGTCACTCTTCCAGGGCTGCATGGAAGCACCAGACTTCTTCCTTCTTACCCAATAAAGCTGTCTTTGCTGACAGCTGTTGAATACTTCCAGTGCTGTTCCCAGCAGCAACAGCTTTCTTAGCAAGAAACTCACTGAGCAAAATTAGCCTGTACAGTAGTACTTTTCCTGCTCTGGGTTATAGCTACTACACCAAGGTAGACTCTAGCTGGGCACCATACCCAATATATGTAACAACATAGCTTTCAAAGGGAAGAGCTACAAGGGGCTTCAAGTGCTCAGGTGTGCCTGCAAGCCCATACTGAAAACCCCATCCCTAAACCTCTGAAGAGATGGTACCAGACATAGCCAAACTAATGCTACTTAAGCAAGTCTGCTCAGATTCAAGCTCTCTCCTATCACCAGATAGACATTAACACAGTGCAGCTCCACCAAAAGCAAAACCAGGCACTATTAGGACTTAAGGAAAAATACAGGTAAAGATACTAATTAGCCCACTAGCACAGAGGTTCAGTGCTGTCCCTTAATGGTGTTCGAGCAACAGTCCTGCAGAACACATCCTTGTTGCAAGCTGAAAAATCACTGTATTACACCGCTGCAAACCTAGAGTTTCAAAATGCTCAAAAGACACCTAGTTAAAACCCAAACTCCAGCAAATATCATTCCTCCTTCATGCTCATGAGTCCTTCCAAGGGGAGCAGTGATTCCAGAAGAGATCTACGGAGTAATGGCCTTGCATACTTCTATACATGCACCAAAATACAGGATCACATCTTACTAGAAAACGCAAGCAACCACCTTGTTACAAGGCAGTTCCTCAGATATAAAGGACTGACATACTGAGATGGCAAAGAGGCAGGTTTTTCAAGTACCCCAAGAAGTAACTCCATGGGACCTGCAAGTATTTTTGTCTGCTCTGCTTGTAAAAGACAGGGAATGTGCTGCTTTTTTCTGCCTGTCTCCAGGGGCTGCTGCTGGCTGCCTCTTGTCGTGTGGTCTGTGTTCAGCAATGACTCGTAGCTGCTTAAATACCCTGCCCTAGGAATGATCAGCCAGGTCATCTTTCTTCCCAGATGTTGCATTAAATATTTTGAGATTTTTTTTGTTTGCTTCAAATATTCAGCAGAGAAGAAAGCATGTATTTCATTTTGGCAGGAAACAGGGAGGGTAGAAAACACATGACCAACAGTGGCAGACAGAAGAGGCTTCTGTCCTTAGGGCACTTGGCCCAGGGCCTCAGTGGATTTTGCTCTAGAAACCCAGGAAGGGAACGATAGCAATCAGAAATTTGTTGAAAGGTCAGGACTTCTGTATCACAAGCTAAAAATACAGATCACTTAAACCACCCTCCTAAGTGCAGGAATCCGAGACCACAAGAAACTGTGTACAAACTAGTTTCCACTGGGCTCTAAGAGCTCTGCACAGCATCACAGAAACCCAAACTGGAAACAGTTACATACATCATCCAGATAACAGCCCCGCAATGATGACAGCACATCCCGTCAAGGGTCCAGAATGATGGGGTCTCTGCACAGCAGGCTGCAGGAGCTTCTTAAGGACTTCTCCAAGGTGAAGAACAATTGTCACCTGACCCAAAATTCATACTGACCTTTCAAATGGAAGAAGCCAGAAAAGCTACTTGATAGAGGAGCTCTCACGGCAACTAGGCACTTTGCAGATACTCTTGAATCCTAAGTGATCCTACTCTTATAGAGCACTGCAGAAATAGCTGTCTAGTAGGGACAGCCTCCAAATGTGGAAGGGCAAAACTGCTGAATGTAAACAGACCGCAACAGCCTGCTGAATGATTCTTAAAATCCAGTAGCGTTCTGGGTCCCAAACAAGAAAAAAGCAGCAAAATTTAAAAAAGAAAAGAGGGCAGTCCAGACAGCACTCCTTGTCCTGCTCCATGGTCAGGGTGGCAAAAGAAGCACCGAACTCCAAGAATTCCACATTCCTGGCTCATCTTGGGAAACAAGGTTTCCTAAACAGTTCATGAAGTCCAGCAGCATCTCTGAAAGGGGAGGGTGCTGGATTTCTTACAGTTAAGCCTCCTGCAATACATTTTTCTGTCACGTCTCTATTTGAGGCTGTGGTATTTCTCCCCGCAAATGGGCTTTCTGAGTGAGGCTTATGTGACAATGAAGTATCAGCATCATCCCTCCACCCACACCCAGTAGATCACAGGACAGTCCATGAGATGCTCTGATAATCAGTTTCACATTCCTTAACTGTTTCCTGAAAATCTGCTGGCAGATTCTGAAGTCCTTACAAGTCCTGCTGGTTGATAAACAGAGAGGGCTGGAGCTAGTGAATGGCTGTGTAGCAGTACCTAAAGAAAATATCATCTTTCCTGGTATGTCTGCCTCACTGAAAGGAACCATGAGCAACTCCAACACACTTCAGTAAGAGCCAAAGCCACCACGACTAAACCACCTGATGCAAAGAAACAGGAAAGATGGCATTTTCTAAGATATGTGCTGCATGCTTGCCTCTGGGAAACACCTTTCCGAGCTGTGTCCAGAGCACAGACTACCTGAGCAGCCTCCCCAGAAGAAGACACAGAGTGTGCAGCTACTGCATCCTTACAACACAGCAGGGAGCAAAAACATCTGGGACCCTCACTTGTTTCTGTGGATTCCACCCAGGGCAGCACAAAGACAGCTCTGGAGAGAGGTTTCTTCTCCCTTTCCGCAGCCAGAGGGGCACCTAGATGGAAAGGAACATATTTATGGCTTCCTAATCTGGCACGATATTCCCCGCGCAGGTTCACAGACAATTCCTTTGACCTAACCCTTTGGCATCTTTAGGGGCTTCCTTCTAGATGCTGGACTGGCAGTGGGGAGAGGTAGAATGCAAGTTTGCAGACATAAAGCTTACTGCCTGTAGACCTCCATCTACTCCTCATTCAAACTGTGTTCTTGCACAGAAGTTACGAGCTTTACAACTGCATTTTACAGCCAAGTAGAGAGTTGCCAGTAAAATCAGTTGCAATCTACATCAGAACTCAACTTGAAGGTGTCTAATGGCAAAACTCCTTGAAAAGGGAACAGGACTGAGCCCAAAGTCAGCAGGAACCCCTTAAGAGGATTAAAGTATCCAGAGTTACATTAGTAAGGATTAAATAATAATAAAATCCAGAAATTTGGAAAGGACAGAAACCCTTACAAGCCAGCTCCTAAGTGGGGGTTAGGAAAAAACTTTGTCTGTGGGCAAACTATTCCAAGATCACTCATTTCACGATCATTTACTTCCTTCCCACAAACATTTGGCCTTTGTCAGGAACACAGGAGATACCTAGGCACACACTGGCTTAACCTAGCATGGTGCTTCCCATGCTTCACAAAGAGGGGTCCTCAGGCTGCAAAATACCAAACCAAACCCTCACACAGAGGGGCCAAGTCCCTTGAAATTACCAAAAAATGGTGCAATATGTTAGCTCACCTTCAAGCTGGCAAGGGGCTAAATGACAGGTGAGAGGGCATGGAGCCACAGACTTCTGCTCGGTTTCTTGCTGAAGCATTTCAGAGCTTAGTCCCAGCTCCTAAGAAGAGCTGTTGCAGATGCATTCGGTAGCTACAGGATTGACTTCACCTCACAGCATTTTTTAAGCTGCTTTCAAGTAGGTGGCCAGTGAACTGTATGAATTCTGTAATACTTTATCCAAACCACGTGTCAGTTGAATGTATCAGAATGATGGAGATTTAAGTGCAGACCATCCAGGGCTGTATGTAATCCCTCCAGGTTTGGAAACTTGATGCCAGACTAGCAGGAACTTCCATACAGAGGGGAATATCCTGAATTAATTTCTGAAAGACAGCCCCCTTGTTCATAATAGTCTGACAGTCACATACTGTAATTTTTTTTTTAAACGTTTTTCTGAAAAGCTGTTTTGGGTACTACTCACTGGATGTTGAGAGAGAGAAGACTTCCCAGGCGTTCTCAGGATGTTACACATCAATGAATTTCCTTCTCCCACAGTTAAAAGTATGTTAAAGTTGAATCCAAACAGACAGCAAACATCAGCAATTTAAAGCAAAAATATTATGGCGTTTTACGATCATCCACAAAATCAGCATTATGAGCCAGGATGTTCAGACTCCATGACAAAATTCAGACACACCAGACAATTTAATTAAGGCCAGCAGATTTAGTGTCATATTTCTTCATTCTAGAGTCACTTCAGGGCAGTGATGGATTCTTTTTTATTCGAATTGTAACTAAGTGCAAGATAAAGAATGTTGAAAACAGCGTCTTAAGGTGCTACTACCAGCAATATGACAATTAATAGCCTCAACGATGCAGTTATGCAATAATTGCATAATTAAAATAGGTGTACTTGTACATACCTAACTTGCTGATACAGGAAGGTTTGTATCAATAAGGATGCTGAATCTCTGTCTTAAGTGAAAAACTCAGTCCAGCCCACACTGTCCAGCACAACACACAATAAAGGCCATTTTATTTTAACCTCCTTCTGGAATCAAAATGGTTTGGCTGGGAACACACTACTTATCTGCTTCACAACTGTTTAGATTAAATGATGTAGCATTGAGAGTTTCATAAAGGAAAAGTAATCCTCATCTTGACTTTTTCCTACTCATTTGTCTGTGACTAGAAATTTTGTTCTTACTGTGATTTCCAGATGGGAATTCACATGGAGTGTCTCTGCCTAGTTTCCAAAGTGGAAAGGAAAAGTGAAAGTTAAATGACTGAGCAGCACTGAAGAATAGATCCTGGCTCCATAAAACTTCGTAAAGAACAAAATCAAATTAAAATAAACTAGGAATGATGCAGAACCCTCCTCTCTACAATCACCCAAGATAATCAAGAACTCTTAACCTTTTTGCTCAGGTTGAAAGGAGAGGTCTTAAGAAGGTAATACTTGTATTGCTCTGCCATTCCTGGTTATGAATATCCTTAGAAGTGAAAATACTGAGAACTTAAAATACCTAAAGTGTTTTTGGTTTTTGTGCGCTGTTCAGGTTCCGCGTTGTTGAAACGCCAACAAGCAGCTCAAGAAACAAAGGTTCAGGCTGAAAGAAGAATTTGGAATAATTAACAGCACTGCTGTCTGTACACCTTTTCTGTTGCTAAATTTTAACTCATGTTGGAAGATGGAAAGTTTATTCCTTCTTAACGAACGGTGGAGGGATGTATTTCCATCTTCAGTAAAGCTCTCCTGGCATTTTCAGGACAAACTGATGGATGATCAGAACAGCCTGAGATTACTAAAATTCTTATCCTTTTCTAGTAGAATAAATATATTTCTCCATCAATTTTACTGCCTAGGAACTCTGTAAAAGATTTGTTGCGAAGTATGAAATCCAGATTTCTGTAAACATTGTCTATTTGGTCAGTGTCTGGGAAACGGGAAGAAATATAATTTTTATGGGTATATTAGCAATTTTCTGTGTAAGATCATGTGAAGATCACAAATTTATAGACAACTTGAAAGCCTCCTTTTCTAAAACCTTAGATTAAAACTACATACAGAGAAACTGGTCCTCTCCAGAGCTATGAACCTGCGCGAACATCAAAACCTCCAGCATGACTGCATGTGTGTCATGCTCCTGAGCACACCTTATGTGGTTATAAGGCAAGACACCCAATAGGATACCCAAAGTGAGAACATCCAAGAAGAACCCTTAGTGTAACAGTTATGTCAGAAAAGCAACTTCAAATTTACCCTATCAAAAAACAGGTCCAGGAACCATTACCTATTTCACCCAGCCTCAAAAAAGACGTTGGTGCTGTAATGTGAAGGCGCTGGGTCAGAACTAGCGAACAGCAGCAGAGAAAGGCAAAGGGATATGGATCTCCCGTGTTACAGAAAACCTGAGAAATTGCAGTGATAAACTCTGTCTCATTCCATTCTGCGATGTACTCAGAGAAGGAGAACATAAGAGCAAGACAGGAGTGACCTGTGTTAAGGTGCAATGGACAGCACTGCACCTTGCCAAAGTCTTGTTCCAGGGGAGAATGAACAACCCCAGCCCCAGAGCTGCAAAGAAATATGCTTTTGTGAAAGGCAACAACTACAGCACTGAAGGAATGTATCTCAGGCCTTGAGGTCAAAATTTCTTCACACTGTAGATCCCAGAACCAAGTTTCTTATTATTTCTTTAATGTCCTTCTCCTGCACTGAAATTTATTATTCTTGGTCTCAGCCCATTGGTCATTTAAATTTGAAGATGAACATATTCATCTACTTGTTAGGCAAATGAGAATCTAAAGAGACTTTACCTACTTAAAATGCAAACACATTAGCAAAATAAAACCCATTTTTATAGCTTTCCCCAAGGAGCAGGAGAATTATTAAATAAGAACATTGGAAAAATTAATCGCAAAGTTGTAAATGACTAACCATTCACTTTGGCATGTGTACGTGGGTGTGCACACACACACACATCATTTACATCAGGCTTTTAATTGTGTAAGGCATTAGTAAGTTTTACCAAGCACAACAGTGGAACTTTCCATTTTTTGCTCTGGTACCCCCCAAAAGTACAAGGAAATAAAAAGCTAAAATTTACTTTAAGGAAACATTAAGGTTGCAAATTTGAATATTTAAAATTAATCAAGAAACAGAGATGCTAAAGGTTCTTCCTTAACCTTAAATTAACATCAGCAAACCACTTACATACCTTTCCATCACTAGTCAGAACATTAAAATCACCATATCCTGTATGCATAAGGTCTGGGCAAGAAAACCTTAATTTTGAACATATTAATTTCACAGTTTAAATTCACAACCCTCAAAATGTTTTTGCACATGCAAGGCATTAGCAGTGTGCCTCCACAGTTAACGTTTGCAAGGAATATTCCAGCCCACATCCTTGCTTCTAACCTTTCACTGCTTTTTCAAATAAATTCCCTCTTAGGCTGAACTTTCTCATGCTTAGTCAGAGCCCAAAGGGAAATATGTTTTTAAAAGATCAGGCCAATCATTTTTTATTTATGGGGTTGTGAAATATTTACTATGTATTCCATTTTGGGGAAAATAAAGAAAAATTGCAATTTTCTTTTTTTCTCCTTACAACTAAATAATGTCACACAGACTAGACACACACTTCTCATGGATGCTGTCCTGTACACAGGTGATGGGTTTGAATGCATTTGGCTAAGAAACTGGAAAGAAAAACATTCTGTTTGTAGCCTGCAGCATCCTCAGACCCAGATGAAAGTTAGTGTCCCCCCTACCACCAAATGTCCTATCTTAGCCCAGCATCCAAGTACAATCTAGCACATAATAAGCAAGTATGATACTACTATGAATAGGGAAGGAGAAAATAAAGCTCACACATGACATCAGAGTTACATTTAATTTTCAAAAGACGCGCTGCTTGACCAATCACCAATCTGATGAGAATTGCAGACAGCTACCAGGAGTTGGGATATAATCACAAACTAAAACATATCTTGCACTGAGGCATAAATGCTTCACTGCATCTAGGTACTTGATAAGGTGGACTGAAGATCTGGCAAAGAGAAATGACTCGGGCATCATAAGGCACCCACTAAAAAACTGTGCCACAATGTGGGAGCTTCAGCAGGAAAGAGCTGAACAGGCTGGCAATGTCCCTGGCAGCCAGCTTTGCTGTACCAGAGCGATGTGCTTCCGTTTAGGCTATGGCAAAGCCCAAACTTGGAGTCAAGCTCTGAACGAGGGATGGTGATGGCACTCAGCTATTAACACAAAGACCGAG